TTTTTAATATTTAATATTTTCTTAATTAATTAAGTATAATAAGAAAAATTATTAATTAATAATAAAGCGATTTTATTATTTTTTCTCATTATACGATTTCATTACAATCGCGGAATCGATAAAAGAAGTAAAACTGATTTTTGCATTAATGCGTTTATTGTTTTTTGAATATTTTGCCTGTGAAAATTACTTGGATATTATTTTTCTAAAAATATCGTGGAAATAAGATAGGTTGAAAAAGAAACTATTTATCACACATGTACTGAATATGAGCTTCAAAATAAATGAATAAAAATAGATTTTATCAAACGAATGACTCAGTGCAGCATCAGAGGCCTTGTCCCTGATTCACATCATGGAGCAATTTGAGTTTATATTAACAATAGTGGGTTGGTATGATATAGTGTTTCAAGTAAACATTGTAAGCAAGGCTATGCAGTCTGGAACTATGGATTTATCAAACGTTACACAATTGCTGAAGAACCGCTATGAATTTGTAAAAGAGTACCGGCGTTATTCGTCTGCTGTAGTAACAGCTAGGAAAATTGCTATTCAGACTGGGATAGGTTTTATTTTTAAGTGAGTCCGATCCCGAAGAAAGAAGAGATTATTTAAATACGAGGCCGTAGATGAGACACCAACAGATCCCGAAGAATTGTTTAAAATAAACGTCTTTTACCCTATGATCTATACAATTGAAAATGCGTTGGTCACTCGATTTACACAACTATTCAAATTTAATGACACATGGTCCTTTTTAATTAACATCAAAACAATTCATGAAAAGTCAAAATTGGAAAAAGCCTGTACAAATTTAGAAATAAGTTTAACCGATGGAGAAAAATGTGACATATCTGGCTGTGAATTGGTTGAGGAACTTTTACACCCGAATCCATTGTTGAAAGAGCTCGAATCATCAGAACCAATAAAAGTTCTTCAACTTATTAAACAAAATGATTGGCAGGATATATTCCCGAATGTGTGGACAGCACTTCGAATTTTGCCGACCATACAACTGTCGCTAAAGGAGAACGAAGTTTCAGTAAATTAAAATTTATTTGCTTCAACCATGTGTCAGGAGAGACTGTCAAATCTAGCAATTTTATCTATCGAAAATAGTATTGCCCAGGAATTAAATTATTCTCAATTAATAACGTTTACAAACGCAAAAGCGAGGAAGGTGGCAATGTAGGCTTTTTATTTTATTTATTTATTTTCTTAATTTGTTTCAATTTTAAATTAATTTTCAATGCAAATTTGTCTTTTGCGTGATATGAGCGTTGTCTGTGCCATAGCAGTTTAAATAAATATTGTTATGAATATTGCCTTATGAAAGAAATTAAATAAATATTGCCTTGTGAAAAAAATCTTGTTTTTTTCACTGTTATTGCTCCTCATCCATACTAGTACTATGCTATAAATTTTACACAAAAGTAAGCTGGGTTGTGAGAATATAAAACATGATCCTGAAATGTGTGCTATATCCCCATAACCTAAAATTAAGAGATTCCATTGAAGAAGGAGAAAAAACGTCAACAGCTTGCGATACATCTGAATTAACAAGGGTCAAATTAACTCTCAATGTACCGTCGTTATCGTTTCTCATCCATAGTATTACTAATAGTATTACTATACTAATATTTCGGAGGTCTGAGTTATTAATAATGTGAAAAATGCACTGGTACGTTATCAGTTTAGTCTCTACAGGCCACAAAGAGATCTCGCACCGCCTGAAAACCTGGCTAGGGCCGCCACTGGTAACAGCACATGTAAATAAACTGTTGAACCTAAAACGAACAGTACAGTACATTCTAAATCATTAATCTTTATATAACTTTCAGAGTCATTTTAGAAAATGTAATCTTTCCATAATATTTTCATCAACAGTCACTTCGACTCATTTATTTTCACAGTATAATATCGTATTATATACACAAGCGTTCATTTTCCTTTACACGTGTAGCGGACATAAAAGCTATTTTATCTTTTCTGCGCGATCTCTTGCAGCAAACGTTTAGAAACATTTAGCTACATTATAGCGCCTCATTTAAAAACGCTTTGCTGTGTAGCGATCGAGCAGCGCTGATAAAGAAAAGCGAGCTAGACGACCTGAATGGACTCGTGTCGAAAGAAGTTCTGACATCAAATACAGAAATACCAGTGATGAATTTTTAATTTTAAAAGAATTATCATTGTTAAAAATCAGTTACGCAAATTAAGAAATTGCAATTTTAAATTTGTAATTTTTATAAACTTTTTTTATTTTTATTTTCATTATAAAATTTATAATTTCGAAACAAATTTACTAGATTTTAAGTAGTCAGAGGGCGCTACGTTACGTAAACATGGCTTCGCTTACGGGTCGTGCTGTTCCAACTCATATGTTAAAATATAATCGTTGTGTTTTATATTCATATAATGTAATCCACTATTCTACTTTAAAACATTTGCGAGATTCGAGATTGTTAATCTGTAAGCATAAATATTCAATAAATCAGCAGGTTTGTTAAATTTTAAGTATTTTGTCACATTATATGTAATATTAGTACTTTATTATGAAATATTGGAAATTAATAAACTTATCTGCATTTGATATTTGTTAAATTAGCAAATTTTTATTTTTTTCTCCTCTTAGGGAAAGGAAAAGTATACTAAAATCAAATTTTAATTCTTATTTATTAAATAATTTTCAAGGTAATATGATTTTCACGTGACTCAATATATTTTTAGAAATTATTCAATGTTATTAAATAGAGATTTTAGATACAGGTTATGTGATGTGTGAGAAACCTCAAAAATATATTATGGAAAGAAGGAATGGAAAAGTAAAGTATATTTGAGCATTTGTTGATGGTTTGCAAATAAATAAAAAAAATCCAGCTTGAGTTGCATCATTTTCCCAGCAATAAACAATGTATTTTCTAATAAAGCTTCCTTGTTAAGAGACAGTTAAGCAATTTCCACACTTTAAGTTAGTTGCTGTAGTGCTAGTGCAGCCAGGACCACAAGCACTGAAGATAGAAGTTAAAATGGCTGTCACCATAAATTGTAGTCATATTATGTATTATCCATTTTAAATTAGTTATTGAAAAAAATAGAAATGCAGTTTTCCTCATGATCTATTCTGACATGAACATCTTCAGATTTATTAGTAATGATGAATGCACACATTTCTATTACTGTTGTTTACCACATAGGTAATTACATTTTTATGCAGTATCAAATTTTTTTGATCGCCTTTGTTTCCGATATTTTATAGCATTGGTAACAATTCTACATTGTTTCTGACTAAACATTTTTATTTGTACAAAACAACATATGTAAAGAGCCAAACAACAATGCTGAGTAGCTGAGGTGTAGAAGTATTTCCTAAAATAGTGGAAATTGCTTAAACTGCCCTCCAGTTGCTTAAGTAAAGCAGCTTTATTAGGAAACTTGCCCAAAGTTAAAATTATTATGAAATTTTATTTAAAAACTTTTTGTTATTAATTATTATAAAGTACCAAAAGGCTCAGTTTTGAGGATAGAGATGAGTTTTATAAAATGTCTTAAATGCTAATGAGTAAAATCTTCATCAAGTCTGATCCCACTAGAGATATGACACAACTTATCTCTATCTCCCCACTTCCTTGACTTTTAGCCACTAAAATTTAATAGCATCAATTCCCTTAATACACAAACCTGGGGCACAGTTTCAGAAATTTTTTACAAAATGGACAGAAGTTATTAAGTTTCAAAGTGGATGAACAAAATCATGCCTCACACATGCTAACATCCATATATACAGAAAAAAAACCCCAAATTTTATGCATTTTTTGACATTTCAAGGTCCATGTCCAACAATATAAAAATCTTGCAGAGGTTATTTTTGACCACTTGCCATACTGTCCTTTTGTTATATGTAACAACCAGAAAAGCAATAGAAAAAGGGCTTGCTGTATATTATTAATGAAGAAAAAAATTACTTTTAAATAATTCCAAAAAATGGTATAAATACTTTTAAGCTTTCTTAGGTGTAAAAGTTTCTAAACATAAGATTATTCGAATAGAATACAATTATTAACAAGTCATTATTATTTTAAATGATTATTTCTTAAATCAGGAAATTTGCATGATGAATTTTTTCATAATAAGAAAGAACAAGAATATCATAGATTCAAATTAATTATAATGAAAACTTTAACTACCATATATCTAGATAAATTAATAATAATTGTAAAATGCATAAGTACATTTCTAAAAGTTTTCTTAAGTTTTTATATCCCTTTTCAGAGAATAATTACAATGTAATTATGCTCTGAAATTCTAGTGATTTTTTTTTAATTTTCTATTTGTGATTTTTTTTTCTCAAAAAAAAATTGAAAGTAAGAATATAATGTTTTCACAATAACAATTTTCTTATCTTTATAGTTTCAGGTAATTTTATGTTTATATCAAAGATTATTCCATTTATTGTTATTTGGTACTTTATTTTGACATCATGTTACATTGGAAAAATATAATTTAACAGAATTTTGTAAATAATCAATATATACTAATATAAAATAGTTTATGCCTTGCTTGAGAATTTTATCAATATATTTCTGTATCTAATGACTATTATGTTATTTATTAATAAGTAATATTTCTTTTTGTAGATAAAAAATTTATTTATAAATTGTTAGTATATTTTATTGTAAGAACATATATCTTATTAAAATTTTTAGATATACCATATTTACTCGCATATAAGATGATCTTGCATATAGGATGAGGTGTGACTTTGAAGATTGAAATAAAGAAAATTAGATTTATTAATACAATTCTAATTTATATTAAATGCATGTAAATGCACACATTGTCCCGCAAAAATTACTGGCATTTTAATCATTAAGGAAAAACCTTGTAAAATCGACAACATAATTTGTTCATGTAAAGCTGGGCAATCAGGAACCTTTTTTTTGCCAATTCTTAACAGTCAAATCTACTCTCTGTCGATTACACTTATGAGTTTCTCCAAGTAATCATCTGTTTTCACCTGGGAATAAATTAAAACATATCAGGCTCCTGTGTGATTTTGGAATTCAATTCAAAAGCTTTGCTTTTCCTATTGTTATTCATCTTTACTCATGACAATACACAAGTACAATTCAAACAACCCAGATAAAATACTTTTGTTTTTAATCACCATAGGGTGACTAGTAAAAATGCAAATAGTAAAAATGCAAATACATTGTTCACAAAAGTTATTGCAAAAATGCAAAGAATTCTTCGCTTGTGTGTATAGGATGACCAAGGTTTTTGAAGCAGTGAAAAATGAATAAAACCTCATCTTATATGTGACTAAATATGGTAAAATTTTTATATACATACGATTTATTTAATATAGGATTATTGAATTTTCATTGTTGGAATTGTTTTTATTTTTCAGGTAAAATTGTACAATTATGGTTGGAAATCCATTTTATCAAAGAGTAGAAATTTTAAAGTAAGTTACATTAGTTATTTGTTTTATTTCTAGAATGTGGATATTTCTTTCAAACCATCAATCAGGTTTTAATATTGATAAATTTGCCAATTCTTTGTAAATTTATTAAAGCTAAATATTGTATTTATTTCCAATGTAAACAGCCAACACCTTTTTTGAGACCAGGGAGATGAAGATATTAATTTTATTAAAATCCTTAATTAATATATATAGATTTCAAGTCTTAGCCCTTCTTCAGTATAATACATGCTACAATGATACAATAAACCAAATCACCAACTATGTAAAATAGAATCAAAACATCCAAAACTGCTACATACCTTCACATAACATATTTTTCAGAATTTTTTATTATAAACTCTCAACAGACTTTATTAAAGGTTACAAAGTGACTTCTTTCACTACACTATCATTCCAATTAGCCAAGTCATAGGATGATGTTGCCCTAATTTGCATTAACTATTATACCATTATTTAAATTATGTTATTTTTATTTGAAAATGTTTGATAAATTTCCTTTTATAATTGTCTGTTTTTCTACATAATATTTTAACATTCTATTTATGACAATCATTTTCTTCAACATGCAAATATAAGGGTGAATTTTCATACCTTAGCTTATTGCTGCTTCATGCTCTTTTAAACTACATTTAATCATCCTTCTTGTTTCCTCTACATATGCTTTCTTATTTTTACATGAACAAGGAATATTGTATACCACACCTGCCATTTTATGTATAGTTTTTATATTATTTATTTTTATTCTATTAATATTACTATATATTTTATTATTAAGGCTAGGAGCTGTAACATTATTTGGAAGACTATTGTATAAAAAATTAAACACGTTTTTAATATATGGAAATGATACATAATTTTTATCTCCTGTTTTATTCTTTGCTCTATATTTGCCATTAGAAATTTCTGAAACCAAAATCCTATCAATCTTTTTGGATAATTATTTAATAAATATTTTTTTTACCTTATCTGTCTCCTACTATTGTTTCCATAATTCTGTCACTTTTTCTATACTTTTTTGCATTTCCACCACAAAATCATTCTTTTTAATACTCATTAGACAATAATTTATGACTTTTTTAGTATTGCATAGTTTTTCATGTTTGATGACAACAAACCCCAATTTATTAATTTAACACCTTTGATTTTGTTTATTTTCTGATCAATCTTAATCATAGCTATTTCTGACAACTTAGGACCTATTACTGTATCAATATTAATGTCATCTTTTTGTTTATAAAATTTTATATCATTCACCAAAAAATAATCATCATCAAATCAATTATTGGCTGTTTCCATCAGGAATAGATAAATTTTAGTTTGTTTAGTTGTTTAGTTTTAATTTATTTATAAAGTATTGATGGATTAATCAATATAAATACTTGAATCTTATATATAAAACTAAATATGAATATAAAGTTTGTATGTAGTTTGATAAATAAGAAATTGCAGCAATTATCTCATTTTATATGAAATTTAAACATTTTTACACTAGTTAAACAAAAATTTATTTTTAATTTCGTAGTCAAATATTTTTAAAATATCAAACAAATATTGGAATATGTTACTTCACAAACATCAAAGTGCTTTTGAACTTCAGTCTATCTTTAGGAGCTAAGGATCAGAATTTAAAAATTTTCTTTTCTTTTTAAGAACATAAAAATTAAAAAGAAAAAATATTCTAAAGTTTTGCTTTGATTTATGATTAAGATTTTGGACTATTAATGAGTTTTTCAGATACTGCTTTATAAAATAGTTAATATATATATAGTGCATTTCTTATAAAAACTTTGAAGATGAAGAGACATTCCAAAAATACTTGGCTAATAAATATATGAAATAAAGTCCATACAGTGATTTTTGCATTTTGTATTAAAGTGGAAATGAGTTCTGCTTGCATTTAGTTCATATCTGTAGTTTGGGTTTTTATAGAAATTTGAATAAGAATTATCATATTAGAAACTTACAGTTTATAAAATTATCAATATTTTGAAATGATTTTAAATACACTTTTTCTATTTTATTGGAATATATTTATTTTGATTTTAAACAGAATTTTTAACTTTGATTTGAAATCTGATAATATTAGTTATAACATTAATTATAATTTCCATTACATCTTGTGATTTAAACAACATATTTTTCATTATTTATTTTAGGTTTTACAAAGTAAAAAACCACCTGGAAATAGAGATTGTTTTCATCCAGGTGCTTCAAATATTTTACCTGCTCAGATAGGGCTGCAAAGTAAAGAAGTAAATGGATTTGTGATTATAAAAAAGATGTTTACATATCTTTGGCCTAAAGATAACAAAGGAATTCGTGCTAGAGTAGTGATTGCTGTAGGACTTCTAATAACAGCAAAGGTAAGATAACATTTACTAAAATGCACTTTATTCTAATTATTTCCAAGGTATAGTTAAATCTTATTGAAAAATAATTATTTCATCCTGTTTAGGAAAAAAATTTTATTCAGATATGAATTTAAAGTGATTTTTCTATATGCAAGATATAGTTAATTAATCAATATAATAATTACTTAAAATTTTTTAACATTGTAAAAAATATGAATAATAGGGCATTATTATTCACAATTTCAGTTATCTGTATTCAATCATGATATCAAATTATAAAAAGGTAAATCCCAGAAATAAACAATTTATTAGTGTAAAATTTAACTATTCTGACAAGGAAACAGCAGATATTTGGTTCTCCAATTCAAATGAAACTTGATGAGCATATAGCCCTAAACACAAATAGTTTTGTGTCCAAATAATATTACCCATTTCTCAAGCATTTCTGATGAACAGGCCTCTGAAAATTGAGTGTTTAGCTTATAAGTTTAAAAGTTCTACCTATTCTAGAAATGGCAGTAGTCGAGTGGATAAGGTTCAAGATGCAGGCACTATATGATATGAGTTTGATCTTTTGTAACTTTAGTTTTTTGTTTTTTTAATGTGTAACATAGTTATTTATTATTTTACCATATCATTAGCATTATTATTTCTATACTTCTTCCTCATGTTAAAGCTTATGAAATGAGATTAAAAATTGTGATGTCATTTTCTGTTTAGCAAAAATAAAATTTTTATTTCTTCATATTTATTAATTAATTAATTAATTAACATAACCACTTGGCTACTGTCATTCCTGGGATAGGTAGAACTTCTAGACTTATAAGTTAAACAGTCAATTTTCAGAGGCCTGTTTATCAGAAATGCTTGAGAAGTGTGTCCTGTTATTTGGACACAGAACTATTAGTGTTTAGGGTTACATGCTTACCAAGTTTTGTTTGAATCAGAGACTCAAATGTCTGGCTATCTCCTTGTGAGTAGTATGATGAAATCTCAAACTGCTTCTCTGTCCTATCTGGGATGTAAATTGGTCTTTTGTTTAGCTTATATGCTACCTGCTCATTAGTCAGTTAACAGCTATCTTGGTTATTAGATTGACTGCTGTGGTATCACAGTACTTGTGTTCAAGTAACCCTTATTTTACTTAATAATGGCCTAAAAGTACAAGAGTAGTGATGCTGATAATTCAGATATGGCAAAGAGAAGCCATGAATTGCTTCTTTCAAGTGAAAATGTGAAAGTTCTTAAGTAATAAGAAAAGAAAAATGCAAGTGATGAGATCATATTTTATACCTTTTAATATAGTATATTGTTAAAATTGTTTTCTTTTATTACTTCTTATTGTTGTTAATTTCTTACTGTGTTAATTTATAAATTAAACTTTATCATAGGTTTGTCTTTTAAAAAAATAATAATAATATTAATATAAGTATTATTTTTAAAGACACTAAATTACAGGCTGCTAACAATGGGATTATAATCAGTCCAGTTTTGTTTTATAATTTTAAAATTTTATTCTAAAAATGTGCTTTAGAATGAATAATTGTCATGTCATGATCAAAAACAGTTAATTCCTGTTAAATAAATTGTTCAATCTTAAATGGCAATGTACTATATTGTTATACTGTTAAAATAATATGTGATTGAGCTGTTTTTGGCAATGTAATTTTCTTCATTAGTATTAATATTTTGCTTCAATAATTAGCTTAATGTTGTAATCTATTTAATGTTATGATCCACAGTTTATTGGCAATAGTTTCATTATTGTGCTAATAAACTTTGAAATTTTATTTTGTTAATAAAATTATATATGTATATTTAGAACTTTATAATGAATAGAAAAAAATTAATTTAATTGTTTTAAAAGAAAATCTTAAATATTTATTAACTATTATTTACACTGATATTTCAAGAATTATATGAATTTTATATAATTTTTACAGCTCATAAATGTGGAAGTGCCATTTATATTTAAATACACTGTTGACTATTTAAATTCTATTGTTGGAAATGTAAACATATCTGACCCGAGTCAAGTAGGTGCTGCAATGTGTATCTCCTTATTATTAGGATGTAAGATTATATTTAATTTTTATTTTAAAATTATTTTACATTTAAGTTTACTCAAATTTATGATTATTTAATTAAATGTTTAGATTAACGTTTCTTGATTTTTATTTAATTAACAACTCATTTTTAATACGTTATATGTTGTTCTTGAATTTAATTTGCAATTTCAGAAATGATAAATCTATAATTTGATAAACATTGGTTTAAATAAAAACTTTCTAGAAATTTAAAAAAGTTTAAGATTTATATTCAATATTAAGATATATTGAATTATTAATTTTTGAAAGATTTATTAGTTTTGAAAAAATATTGAGTTTTTTTGCTTTTAACTCACAATTATTAAGTCACTTTATATTGCAATTAAATTGAAGCTAAGTGTCAATATGTTAGATAATAATTAATATAGATTAGATAAATTTTAAATAGATTACAATATCCTTTCAGTATTTATACATACAATATAACATATAAAGATTAATTATGATAAAACATATTTAGTTTTAATAAATTTTTTTGCTTTTAATAATTTATTGGATTAATGTATGACTTTAATCATATTATAAGTTTAATATTTTATATAGTTTTTGGATAAACTTTATAAGAATTTTGTTATTTATTTCCAAAACAATAATAGTATTGTTTATACAAGTATATGTAATATGCTAGTATTGAAATTTCAATACTTTTTATATAATAAAACATATAACAATCAAAACTTTTGCGTGTTATTACTGAAATTTAATATTTCATAAATAAATTTCAGTGACTTAAATATTAGCATATTCATTTATGGAATTCAAGTAAAAAGTCTAATTTATTTCACTAAATTTAAATTTGTTTTCATAGTGCATTCATTGAAACTTGTTAAATAAATAAAGAATATAATTTATTAACATATAAATAGACATGGGTTTGATTTTTCCATGTTTACTTCAAAATAGTAATATTTCTTGAAAAAGTTGGTTCTCAGTAGTACAGTGATATCTCGGTTTTTATCGATAATCTGTCCAAAAACAATTGGTGAAATCTGAATCGACAAAAATCGAGGCAATTATTTCCATATGAATCAATGTAAATCCAATTAATTCATTGTAGACACTCCAAAAACATACCAAAAATATATTTTATAGAAAATAAATATAGTGTTTAATACTAAAAACAATAAGAAATTAATATAAAATGAATATAAAAGATTAATATGATGGCCCCCAAAACAGAATCACAATCTAACTGTTTTTGGTTGATCCAAATTAATAATAACTGTTTGACATCTTTAATTGTTTGGGGTCTCTTTTCGTTAGCATATTTACGCCTTTCATTACATTAGCCTCCTTTATTGCTTCTTTTTTCGGCACATTGGAACTTATCATGGAGGCGACTTCCTGTACTGTACATGCAGCTGATTTCAGAAATCTTAATGCCGCTCTTGTATTTTTCAATGATTTTCTTCAACACAATCATGTTTCTAGCCTTCTTTGAAGGATTGCTGGATCTGGAAACTTTCTTTGGTCCCATGATGGAGCTAAAAAGAAAGGAAAGCAATGGAANAATGAATATAAAAGATTAATATGATGGCCCCCAAAACAGAATCACAATCTAACTGTTTTTGGTTGATCCAAATTAATAATAACTGTTTGACATCTTCAATTGTTTGGGGTCTCTTTTCGTTAGCATATTTACGCCTTTCATTACATTAGCCTCCTTTATCGCTTCTTTTTTCGGCACATTGGAACTTATCATGGAGGCGACTTCCTGTACTGTACATGCAGCTGATTTCAGCAATCTTAATGCCGCTCTTGTATTTTTCAATGATTTTCTTCAACACAATCATGTTTCTAGCCTTTTTTGAAGGATTGCTGGATCTGGAAACTTTCTTTGGTCCCATGATGGAGCTAAAAAGAAAGGAAAGCAATGGAATTGTTTGGCTAGAGTTACAGGATAACGCTCATGTAATGAGATGCAACGCCATACTGAGTAGGAAAACACGTGAGTTGCCCTTTGTTNTGAAATTTCAATACTTTTTATATAATAAAACATATAACAATCAAAACTTTTGCGTGTTATTACTGAAATTTAATATTTCATAAATAAATTTCAGTGACTTAAATATTAGCATATTCATTTATGGAATTCAAGTAAAAAGTCTAATTTATTTCACTAAATTTAAATTTGTTTTCATAGTGCATTCATTGAAACTTGTTAAATAAATAAAGAATATAATTTATTAACATATAAATAGACATGGGTTTGATTTTTCCATGTTTGCTTCAAAATAGTAATATTTCTTGAAAAAGTTGGTTCTCAGTAGTACAGTGATATCTCGGTTTTTATTGATAATCTGTCCAAAAACAATTGGTGAAATCTGAATCGACAAAAATCGAGGCAATTATTTCCATATGAATCAATGTAAATCCAATTAATTCATTGTAGACACTCCAAAAACATACCAAAAATATATTTTATAGAAAATAAATATAGTGTTTAATACTAAAAACAATAAGAAATTAATATAAAATGAATATAAAAGATTAATATGATGGCCCCCAAAACAGAATCACAATCTAACTGTTTTTGGTTGATCCAAATTAATAATAACTGTTTGACATCTTCAATTGTTTGGGGTCTCTTTTCGTTAGCATATTTACGCCTTTCATTACATTAGCCTCCTTTATCGCTTCTTTTTTCGGCACATTGGAACTTATCATGGAGGCGACTTCCTGTACTGTACATGCAGCTGATTTCAGCAATCTTAATGCCGCTCTTGTATTTTTCAATGATTTTCTTCAACACAATCATGTTTCTAGCCTTTTTTGAAGGATTGCTGGATCTGGAAACTTTCTTTGGTCCCATGATGGAGCTAAAAAGAAAGGAAAGCAATGGAATTGTTTGGCTAGAGTTACAGGATAACGCTCATGTAATGAGATGCAACGCCATACTGAGTAGGAAAACACGTGAGTTGCCCTTTGTTTTTGCAAAATTAGCAGTGAGGTCACATGGGCATGTTGACGAAATCCGAGACAACCGACAAAAACCAAGACAAATTTTTCATGGAAAAAATTGATGAAAACTGAAACCGATGATAACCGAAGTCAACAAAAACCGAGGTATTACTGTATAATTTTATAAGAAATATTGTTTGTGTTATATAAATAGATGCTGAAGCATATTACAATGTGAAACTATTTCAATAGTGATTAAATAAGACAGTAATTTTATATCATTATTTCTATATTTTTGATACAAAGTAGTAGTAATATAAACTGTTGTCTTAATGATATAATTAATGGTGGTAATGTTTTTGTTAAATTTGTGTATTGATCTAAAAAACAAAGGCAAATCAGATTTACAAAGATTAATTATGATAAAACTTATCTGGTATTGATAATTTGATTTGCTTTTAATAATTTATTGGATTAATGTATGACTTTTATCATATTATAAGTTTAATATTTTATGTAGTCTTTGGTTAAACTTTATAAGCTTTGGATAACTTTACTACTATATCTATAAGCAAGATTACATTCAGGCTATAATTCAGTTTTAATTTTAAAAAAACTTAATACTTTGTTTTCAATAATAATGATAATAATAATTAATGCTCATGTTTTAAATGAAATTATATGTGATATTATTTATAAATGTAAATAGTAAACATAATTTGTCAAACTCAAAAAGAAAATCAGATATATTAAACAGAATTAAAGTTTGATGCATATCAAATTACTTTCTGTTAATTTTTTACTCCATGAGTTGACAATTTTAAATCATTGCTATACAACAATAAGAAATACTTTTGATCGTATGAAATGTTTAATGAATCTTTGCTTATATTTATCATTATCTCATAATGCATGAATTAATTTACATATATATACAGGGGTTACCTGTATATATACATAAATTAATTCATTAATTCATAAATTAATTCACGGGAGTTACATTCCAAAAAATTGCCATGTTATGCGAATCTGTGTTATACAAAACAAAAAACTAGTGCGAAAATGGAGGTTAGGTTCCAAAAATTAAAAACTTACTGTTAAATCCCTATTTAAATTGGATTTATTATTCATTTTTTTCATAGGTAAAATACTTATTTATTATTTAAGTAAATATTTTACCAGAGGATTATTCATCCTATATGATGATCTCAGCATGAGCATCATCAACTGGTAACAGTTTTTTGGTGCGTTTGTTAATAGCAGTTGCTCTGCAACGGGAGTGCGTTTGTAGGCGTTTAGGAATGACAGTAAAAGAAAGATGATGGCATCCGCACTATCAATAGTATTGTGATAGAGGAATCTATAATTCTAAAATGAGCTTTTAGAAGCAAAAAAAGGGTCCCAATTGTAAAATTTAACCATTAAATGGATTATTTGTTGAAAGAGCATTCAAAGTAGCCACAAAAACAATTAGAATGCTCATGCAGAGTTACGTGGTGGTATAAAAGAATGCACTCTTTATTACATTTCATGTTGTATGAGGGTTTTACCCAATTCCTGAACCATGTTAGAGTGAATCCGTGCTATAAAAGCACTGTGTTATACGGGGATGTTCCCAATTCTCGAACTGTGTTAGAATGAATCTGTGCTATAGAAGTGCCATGTTATACGGAGTTACCTGTATATACATTTTTTTTTTTCACTTCAAAACTATTCATTTAAAGCTAAATAACAAAAGTAGGACATTACTATATTTACTTGAATGTAAAGTGCACCTTTTTCAGGTTTTAATATTTTCTGAAAATAAGGTGCATCTCAGATTCAATGTAATGTGTCATAATTAACAATCTTTAGTGTAATGTATATTATTTCTATGTCACTAATTCATATAAACATAAATAATGCTGTCTTTTTATGTTAAGATTCTTTTATTGATAACAAAATTAGTAAGTAGTTTCAACATCATCATTGCTGTCTTCTTCAGGCAATATAGAACATTTAAAAATATCATTAATTTAACATGTTCATTTAAAATAAGATGGTATACATATTTAAACTTATAAACATTAAAATTAGAACAGACCAAATGGAATATACTGACGTAGATAAAAGGTTATTTTATGCAATGATGCAAAGAAAAACTCACTAATTCCATTGCACCATTTTTTGTAAACTATTTTATTAGACCAATATTCATAATAGAATGAGCTAAGTTGGCTTTTTAAATATAATCTTGTTAGTCTATTACAGTAATGTTGTAAGTACTTGGATGAAAATTCTAGAAAAAGTTGTGCAGCATTCTTTTAGAAATGTTATATTTCTGATGCTTTAAATTGCACTGAGTATGATTCCATGCGGAAAGATGTGAGCATTGAATTCAATGTTGAATTTTAGGTTTAGTTTCAATTTACTAAAACTAAACCTAAAATTACACCTATATAAAAAATAAAACTCAGGAATGTGACTAAAACATTGTTAGTGTTGATTCAGAAGAGTTTATTGCGGAAAATGAAGGTTCTGACTTCAATACCATGGAAGACAGCAATATACAACCTTACTTATCAATACAATAAATACTGAACAAATTTATGTCAGTGTAGAATTATACATAGTTCTGTGAACATAAATTTGTATATAAACATCAACTCAGAAATTTAATTTATACTTAAAGACAAACAAACTGCCAAATAACCATATTATATCTTTATAATTTGGCAGTTTATTTGGCTTTGACATAAATTTGTCTCAAGTTGTTTATTTTTCAAAAAAAAAAAAAAAAAGGATGCAGAAGTTAAAGTGTGTCTTAGACACCAGTAAATACAGTATTTATATGTAGATTAAGAAAATAAAACTTTTAAGACAGTTAATTAAAATTAGATAATAAAACAATTTACACTTTAACTTTAAGTCCCCAAAAAATATTAATACTGCATTGTATAAAACAAGAAATTTTTATTGAGAAATTTGAAAAATAAATTATGGAATCAAACATTTCTAAACAAATCATATCTGTCATGATTGCAAACTTTCAAAAAGCTATATCATATATATTAGAGATTAAAATGCTTAAACAATTAGAATATATTGTAATTTTAAAAATATATTAGTATTTTTATCAGTTTATATTAAATTTTATAAATGCCTATAATTGTTATAAAGAAACTAATATGTTGACAAAATATTTATCACCTTAATGCTGTGTTCATTTTTTGAAAGATGGAGCAGCTCGAGCAGGAGCATCACTTTTCAATGAGTTAAGAAATGCTGTGTTTGCAAAAGTTGCACAGAATTCTATTCGTAGAGTTGCAAGGAATATATTTCTTCATTTACATAATTTGGATCTTAGTTTTCATTTATCTCGTCAGACTGGTGCATTATCAAAAGCCATTGATAGAGGTACAAGGTAAGATAGATAGTCTTGCTTATTTTTAAAAAATTATTCATTAATTTAGCATTAATTATAATATTATCAATACAAAAACATTTTAATGCCCAATTTAATGGATTTCTGTCTTTGATACTAGGTATATAAGACAGGTATCCATTAAAATATTGCTGTGTATTTTACAGCACTGACAGTGTTTTACATAATTAATACAGTCGACCCCACTATAACACGGTAGATATGTTCTGGTATTTATGAATCCATTTTCTATGAGTCCAGCCAATCACAGCCCGGCACGTATGCAGTTTATGGACTATGGCTGTTTGAAAGGTTTCTTCCTTAAAATTAATCAATTCTAGATTAATTTGACTCAACATTTCCAAAATACATATAATTTTTTGGGAATAATTCGTATAAACTATGCTATAAACAAAAAATTGTAGGATTACTTACCGAGTGTGCACCATTCGACTACGACATTGCTTAAGCTTGTTTTCGTTGTGGAGATTGTCATCGAATGGCGCTCACATGCTTCCTGATAAATTATTTTTTTTTGCAAAAAATTTGCTGAACTTTGGAGACATCATTAATATAAATATAATTTTTATGGACGTTATATAATAAATGGTTTTAGTAGGTCCGCTGCTCGTTTAAACTCAATGGTTTGTGCAATATCCGCTATTGGTCTAGATTCAACGAATCCTGTCACGACACAAGTCAGCGATGACGTTTTACCGAATTATAGGAGTTTTTTTAGCTTGTTTGTATGAATACTGTCGCAAATTTTTCGCCGTGATATAGGAATCCAAACTATAGGAACCCATGTTATAGGTGGGTCAACTAACTGTACTCAGTTTTGTTTTATAAGAGAAGATGTGATAAAAACAGAATTTAGAAATACCTAAAGAATTTTTGAAATTATAGAGTTATTTTTACATGATAATTAAGATAATTTGACACTAGAAGCATTAAGTGCCATTTTGTATTAAATTTAACAATTAGAAATTAATGATTACTTAATTTAGAGAAATCTAGAAGAGTGAGTCTAGTCTGAAATAAGACTCAAAATTTCAACTATTGCAAGCTAGACAGACAATATTACCAATTATGCTATCTAGGCTTTNAAAATCCCTTCTTAGTGTGTGTTTCCATGACGTACCCTAACTGTCTACCAAATTTCACCTCTTTAGGTTAAGCGGTTTGCTCTGGGCGATGATGAATGAATGAGTGAGTGAATGAGTGTCATTCAGTCAGTCAGGACAAGCAATTTTATATATTTAGATGAATGGGATTTTTCAACTGTTTATTTAATCTGGTTTTAGTGAAAATTTTGCTTTGATGTGTATGAATTTTTAAGATAATTTGACACTAGAAGCATTAAGTGCCATTTTGTATTAAATTTAACAATTAGAAATTAATGATTACTTAATTTAGAGAAATCTAGAAGAGTGAGTCTAGTCTGAAATAAGACTCAAAATTTCAACTATTGCAAGCTAGACAGACAATATTACCAATTATGCTATCTAGGCTTTCCAAGCAGGATATTTACTAATTTTTCCAACACACAATTCATTTGCTTCCTTCTGCTTCTGCTATTCTTTTCTTCAAAAGACTGAGTTTCTCAATGTTTTCCTTCCATTATGCAAGAAAAAATGCTGTCTTCATTCTACTAATGTTGACAAGTGAGATCCGTAAAAATCTCACTTGAAAAGTGACAAGGATCCAAAGAAATTTTATGTAACAATGGTATTGAAGATATTCATGGTATTTTTTTAAGTGATATTCAAAGGAAACATAATTCATTGTACTGCCAACTACAGACTTTTAGAGAATAGGAAGGAGAGAAATTTTTTTTAGTTATCTGCAGAAGACAATATCCATGTAATTCAGGTAAAACTACATTAATAGTCTCATTACTTTGTCAGGAGTGGATATTTTATCTACTAAACTCAGTATCTAGCTTTGCTACATATGCAAAATTGTATAATTTGCTTGTCTGATTTTTTAATTTCAGCAATTCTATATGAATATCAAATAAAAGTAATTCTTGCTTACTTACATATGAACAAACTAGCTGTTTTTCCGCAGATTTTGCAAGCAAACCCCATTTATATTCAGTATTTCCACAACCATAGTAATTGTTATATAACACCTACCGCTGAGAATAATGAGAATTGCCGAGAATCAAACGAACTATTTTCAATTTGATCAATTTTCTGGAATGTTTACAATTGTTCTATAATCGAACCAATATGCAATAACAAATTCGAATTTAAAATGATTCGAACATTTTAAAAATCGAAATAGATAAAAATATTTATAACAATGTTTGAAATGTTATTAATTTAATACACCTAAGTACTCGATGAAGACTAAATCCTCTCCTTCTCCCGCCCACGGGGAAATTTCGAAAAATCCCTTCTTAGTGTGCATTGCCATGGCATACCCTACTAAAACACAGATAAAAACAAAAAATAGCATCTAAAATAGTACAGTAGAAGCTGTTATTCCAGTTAAGCCTTAATGCTCTCTCTCTCCCCCCGCGGGGGAATTTTGAAAAATCCCTTTTTAGTATGCATTCTCATGGCATACCCTACCACAACGCAGATAAAAACAAAAAATCGCATCTAAAATAGTACAGTAGAAGCCATTTTTCTGGTTAAGCCTTAATCCTCTCCCTCTCCCCCTGCAGGGGAATTTCGAAAAATCCCTTCTTAGTGTGTGTTTCCATGACGTACCCTAACTGTCTACCAAATTTCACCTCTTTAGGTTAAGCGGTTTGCTCTGGGCGATGATGAATGAATGAGTGAGTGAATGAGTGTCATTCAGTCAGTCAGGACAAGCAATTTTATATATTTAGATGAATGGGATTTTTCAACTGTTTATTTAATCTGGTTTTAGTGAAAATTTTGCTTTGATGTGTATGAATTTTAAGCTATAATCTATTTGAATAATTCATAGAATTTTTGAATGAATAATAATAATAATAAAATAATTGATTTTTCATTTATTACTGTAAGACATTTTCTTCTAATAGTCATTTCTTCATTAAGTCTTACTTAAATTGACAAATATTTGGGAGTTTTGGAAAATCATTATTGCCTTGTATTGCTCAGAGGAAATGTGAAATTTATTATTAGTTAAATAAGTACATATTCTCAAAAACACCATAATTTATGCATAGTTTATTTATTAACTTTTAACTATAATAATACATTTAATTTAAATGATTATTTATTTAAAAATTTTAATTTAAAATTTTTGTAGTATAAACTTATTATTTAATTATATTAATCTTTTACAGAGGAATAAATTTTGTTCTGTCAGCTCTTGTATTTAATGCTGTACCAACCATATTTGAAGTATCACTAGTCAGTAGTATTTTGGTAAGAAATTATTTATATAATATATTAATTAAAACAATAATTAATTTAATAAATAAATAATAATAGGTAAAAATTAATGGAAATAATAATAATTTATATAATAAAATTGCTAGAATTAGTATAAGAATTGAAACCAGAATAAATATGAACACACCAAAAATCCAACAATTGAACATAAAAGTTAATGTTTTCTACTATTTACAATGGCCATCTTCAGGTTTAAGAGAATTCCACAAAAAGAAAAAAATGGGAGTTTACATTGAGTTGCTGGATTTTTGATGATGATGTCATTAATTTTACAGAAGTTTATCCAGTTACATGATTTTAATATGAACATCATTTATTTTTTTAACACTCAAATTTCTAAAACTTTTCTTAGTGTTGAAAATCAAATTATTTGCTTGTTAATTCAACATTAAGAAAGTGGTGTCTTCAATTAATGTAGTGCATAATCTTTATACTCATTTTATCACACATTTTCCTATTTTATTAAGATTATGATACTAAAAACTGTTATGAAAAACCAGTTTATATCCTTTTGAATAAATGATTGTAATTTTGTTTTTGGTAATTTAATTTATTGTTAATTTTTGACAAATGATAGTAATTAAATTACCATAAAACTTCTTCATAATACTAGAAATAAAATAAATGTATATCTGTAAAATCTTTTTCATGAAACTATCATGGAAAATTGTAACTGGAAGAAGCAAAAAAGGAAAAAATGTGTTATTTTTAAAAAATTAATTGTGTAAAAATTTTGATTACAAAATATTGAAAATGTAAATCTAAAGTAAAAATTCTTCTTTTTTATTTTTTATAAATAAGATAATTTTTATTCATGTCTTTTAAACAGGAAAAAAGTACAATTATACAAATAAGTGACAAATTCCATTCTTATTAACAAAGATATTGAATCTAGCAGAAATTTATTTTTCGAATGAAATTAAATTTTTTAAGTTACTTTCTACATTTAAAGCATAATAATAATTAAATACGTCCTTTTTATATTATATTTGTTTTGTTATATATATATATATATATCTGAATAGAGTTTTCTTAAAAATAAATATTTTTTCAACAATGCTTATTTTGCTCGTATCATATAATCTGCTTTTGTAACAATTTAAGCAAATAGTAAAATGTAATAAGATGTATAAAACTAGAAGCTGTTTTGATGTAAAAAGATGCCTTTTGATTGATTGACTTAGAAAACTGCCTTTTGATTGATTGACTTAGAATCACTAACTACTATTAACAATTTGATCTTTGAAAAAATAAAAAATATGATTTTCAAAATATCAGTTATTAATGTACTTTTAATGTATGTAAAATGAAATGCTTTTTAAATAGTTCAAAATTTAATAATTTTAATATATTATATAAAAAATATTAGTTATATCCAAATTTAATTACAAATTTTTTAATTTATTATAAAAATACTTTTGTTGAACATGTAAAAATCATTACAAAATTTAATTTTTTCTATTTTATTTTAGTACTACAAATGTGGAGGAAAATTTGCATTAGTAACTTTAGGATGTATAGCATCATACAGTATATTTACTTTTTTGATTACACAATGGCGGTAAGGTATAAAAATTTCTTAAATTTAAAAAATATTTCAAATAGCTTGTTATTTCAAACATGATGGTATTTTCTTTTTGAATTTAATGTAGATAAAATATTTTAAAATTTTCTTTATAGATATTTACTGAAAAAATAACTTGTTAATGAAAAATATATATCTTTTTAAAATTTGTTTCAATTTTCAAATGATTTGGTTTTTCTAAAGTTAACCTTAGAGTCAACATGAATATAATTTAAATTTCATGTAGTCAAATATTGAACATTGTTAAGCTTATTTATTTTATAAATATAAAATTCAGTGTGTTATAATAAAATCATATTTGTAAAGTTTATTAAATACAATTGATGCCAATGAATTTTAAATCATAGTACAGTTGCGAGTAAAAGTTTTACAATGCTGTATTTTATTTATGATGATATAATCTAGGATTCATAAATACTTGATTTATGAATAATAGCGTACTTATTTCAAAGCCAAATAATTGTCAAATTATTACTTCTACTACTATTATTAATTAAATACCAAGTAATTTGGTGCTAGAGGCATGCATTAGATGCCATCTCTTGTAAAATTTAATAATTGCAATTAAATTACTTGACATTTAATTAATAATAGTAGTGTGAGATAAGCAGCGGGTCAGGAGTTAATCTCGTACTGACCACTTAATCTGCATGGGCTGGTAAAGCCTGATCTCGGAGTCATTGGATGGCTAGGAGGGCAAAACGAGTGGGGAGTGCATTGGTAAGTCGACAGATTTCTTCGGATAGACAGGAGACAGGTTTAACAAATAATAAAGGTTTATTATATAACTAAAGCTAATTTACAAAAGTATACATACTGATTATTGCTTAGATGCGGATAACATAAATCTACCAGTAACAACCAACTAACTAGTAACTATGCCGCATTCCTAACCTTTAGAGTGAGAGAGTTTACAAAGGTTACTGCACTCAGATATACCTTAATATGATGTCGGATGACAATATGCAATGATCATTCTGGACTATGGAAGCTGGCTGGCTGTCACAGGTCTTCTACCGGCTTTTCCTCGGACAGGACCGGGACGGGAGACACTTGTACTCAGACCTTCCTGATGATTGCGCGAAAGGATAGTCACACTGAGGGGACGATCGCCCTGAGCTGTTCAAGACAATCATCGTTGGCACTGAGCCAACTGGTTGTTTACTCATTATGATGACTAATTAGCACGCGTACGTTGACTAATTAACAAATGGATGATGACTTGCTTTTCTTCCTTCCTATCTTGTCGATGTGTAAGATTTGACATCCAATCTATTTCCATTATAACTTGTGATAAATTTTTTTTCATCCTCTAATGTAAAAATATGTTAAACTCAAAAAGTTACACCCTCAAAACACTCGGGCTCAAAGTAGTAATAATATTACTACTGTGAGCCTGAGTATTGCCTGATATAATTTGGCAATCATTTGGCTTTATAATTAATGAGTTTAGATGTTTATATTTGTATGAAATTATTTCTACGTAAATTTATTTGATATTTTTTTTGGCTCATGCAATTATTATATTTTTCTATTTATTTCATCAAAAATGAATTATTTTAGTGGCATAAAATTTATTTCACTTAGATTTTCATTCAGTAATGTTAACTAAAACTGCTATTTTTATCATTTATTACACCTATTTTTTTGACAATTTTTTTATTTTACATAAATATTTGCCATACTTTGGTATTATTACTTTATTTCTATCAAAAATTCTTTTTGCTATTTTTTGCTACAAACTTATTTAATCAATGATTGTCTTAAGATGCAAGTTTTTGCTAAATCAGAATTTGTTTCTTATAATTTTTCTTTTTAACTGTTGTATAAATTTTACTGTTGAGATAGTTTTATATATGAAAATGTGAATCAGTTCTAATATCTATTAGTAATATTAAAGTTTATATTGGTTTAGCTTTAGAGATGAGTGATTCTTCTTCAGAAGTGCAGTAATACACTGCTCTTCTGAAGCCACTGGTAATGTCAATTCATTGCACAATATGTAACATTTTGAATTGATACTATATAATTTTTTTAACATAGTGAAAAATTCAAAAGTAAATCTTGATATAGAAAACTAAAAAGAATTCATAAACAGCTATCATTTGCTTAAATTAGTTTATTTTTTATTGAAATAATAAAGAATACAGCATTAAACAAGCATGGAAATTATCTTTATCCATTTTGGATACATACTGTATATCACTTCAAACTCTTGTCATAGAAAATCAACAAGCAGCTTGCTGTATGTATGGCTGCTCTTCTGCAAGCACTATTGGGATTTAGTTGCTGCTTTTTAGTTCAGTTCCATGTGTGCATCCTATTTTAATTTCAGTTTTGCTTGTTTTTAACATTTTTATTGTAATATAGATTTTCTGCATTATTTGTTTGAAGTATTTGTATTTTTATTATGCAAAATCAATACTATTTCAATAAAGTGTACATGCAGCTGATTTCAGAAATCTTAATGCCGCTCTTGTATTTTTCAATGATTTTCTTCAACACAATCATGTTTCTAGCCTTCTTTGAAGGATTGCTGGATCTGGAAACTTTCTTTGGTCCCATGATGGAGCTAAAAAGAAAGGAAAGCAATGGAATTGTTTGGCTAGAGTTACAGGATAACGCTCATGTAATGAGATGCAACGCCATACTGAGTAGGAAAACACGTGAGTTGCCCTTTGTTTTTGCAAAATTAGCAGTGAGGTCACATGGGCATGTTGACGAAATCCGAGACAACCGACAAAAACCAAGACAAATTTTTCATGGAAAAAATTGATGAAAACTGAAACCGATGATAACCGAAGTCAACAAAAACCGAGGTATTACTGTATAATTTTATAAGAAATATTGTTTGTGTTATATAAATAGATGCTGAAGCATATTACAATGTGAAACTATTTCAATAGTGATTAAATAAGACAGTAATTTTATATCATTATTTCTATATTTTTGATACAAAGTAGTAGTAATATAAACTGTTGTCTTAATGATATAATTAATGGTGGTAATGTTTTTGTTAAATTTGTGTATTGATCTAAAAAACAAAGGCAAATCAGATTTACAAAGATTAATTATGATAAAACTTATCTGGTATTGATNACAAAATTTCGGATTGACATGAATAGAGCTGAAAGTGAAGCAGGAAATCTTGCTGTTGATTCTCTAATTAATTATGAAACTGTAAAGGTAAGTTAATTTATATTTTTAATAAATATTTATAGCATAGTGAGAATGCTGGATGATGGGCACTGAACTTGTTACTAATTCAATACAGTATATGAAGATAATTTTTACATGGCTTTTAATTTATTAACTTCAAGAATGTTAATTAATTATTTGTTTGCTTCATCTTTTATTAGTCTTTATAAAACAGCTTTTTGTCTCGAAAATTTTTGAAACTAATATCTCAAATACTATAGTAGAGATAACAGAAACTTATCACACTGCTACTGATAACATCAAAATGACATCTCTATCATCAAAATACAACTTTATTATTGGTATGCATTTTACACATTGGTACACAATGTGGTACACAAGACCCTTATCAGCCATACATAAAAATATATAGATATCTCTGGTAGAACAAATTCGCAGAGAAATTGACATTAATTACAATCTACAATTTAAAACATACCTGTTCAAGAATTATTTCCACCCACATTGCACAGAGATTTTCTTTTTAGATATTGTAGTTCTGTTTATAATGTAATCCCCATAGTACTGTGCAGTGTGGGTAGAAATAAATCTTGAACAGGTCAGATTGTAAACCAGTGTTATATGTATACATTTATAGATCTTTACAACTGTTTTTTTTAAATTATTTTAGGTATGTTTTAAATTGTAGATTGTAATTAATGTCAATTTCTCTGCGAATTTGTTCTACCACAGATATCTATATATTTTTATGTATGGCTGATGAGAGTCTTGTGTACTGAAATGCATACCAATAATAAAGTTGTATTCTGATGATAGAGGTGTCATTTTGATGTTACCAGTAGCAGTGTGCTAGATAAGTCTCTGTTGTCTCTACTATAGTATTTGAGCTATTAGTTTTATTAGTCTGTTTTGATTTTTACTATTAATGTCTAAAATCATCAGCTGATTTGATAAAGTTAAAAAAAAATTTGTCTTAAAGCATATCCTTTTAAAATAATATATTATATATTATATTTTAAATATAAATAAAAAATTTTTTTAGCTGTTGTAATTCCAGGATGATTCTAAAAATATTGTAATTATTTTTTTTATAAAATTTTCAAGCATAATATAAAACAAACCATAAAAAACTTATTTCATTAATTTTATGTTTATTCATATTTTGTATTAATTAATTTTCATTGTAAACTATAAAATATTTATTAAGTGTAATTTTAAAATAAATTCAAATTTATTTTTGTAAGGTACTAATATTAATTTAAATCATCATAGACTGATACATTTTTAAATAAATTTTGGTTTGACTTTCATTCCACCTGTAATTCATTACTACAATTTCCTTAAATAACATATTTGAAAATAGATAAATTTATAGAAAATAACATAAAATAAGTGATTATTAAATAATTAATCAGTTAACTTTTTTATTTCTACTAAAACAAAAATTGGAGCTCACTTACATTGAATAATATTGCTGTCATATTTTTTTGATGAGTCAAAAAATACAACAAAATAACATAATCTAAGTGTTTTAGGACATACTGTGTTTTGTATCAGTTTGTTCTTTAACATAAAATTTTTGGTCTATTTTATTATTAAGAAAAACATTAACAAATTTAAAATGATATGTTGTAAATTACTCTAAATAAATTACAAAAAACTGCTTTAAAACTTAACTCATTAATATTTTATTTTTTGATAGTAATAATATAATTTGATGATTATTGGAAGTTAAAAATTAAAAATCATGATTTAAAATTTAATTGTTAAATTATTGTGAATTATTATAAAATAGGAATATAGTTCATTAATAAACCCTTAAATGGTGTATATGTTACCGCTAAAGCTCGAAAGTCGTTAATGTGTACATTACCTAGCTAATCTGCAGATTAACTAGGGTGATCCGTTAAAGTTACGAAAATTGTTCCATTTCTCAAATTATCTAGGTAATGTGCAGAGTATCTAGGTAATCTGCACATTACCTACTAGGCACTTGGTAAAGTGAAAATGTGATCTTTGCTGGAACAACAGTAACGTTTCTGTACGCTTAAATTAACATAATGTTGTTTATCCTGTAAATGTTCGTCCAATGGAGAAATATTTGTAATAAAGTTGAAGACAAAACTGTCCAAAAAGGATCACCATTTATTTTTTGTGTTCCAAGACTAACACATTCTCGGCAACTGACCTTTCTTTGTAGGCTGCTTGTCGCCAGAAAATTATAAAGAGTCCTTTTAAAAAACACAAAACACATTCAATTAAAATTACAAAAATTTCTGAAAAAGGAACTGGTGACATACAGTTGTTCTGCTTACATCCATCTGTACCTTCTTTTGGGGGTTTTGGCTGAAAAAAAAAGCAGCCAAAACCCCCAAAAGAAGGTACAGATGGATGTAAGCAGANTCCGTAAAGTGAAAATAAGATCTTTGCCACAAATAAATGTACCACAAATAGGTGTGCTTGTCACAAAAAAGAATTGCTATGTAATTCAAAGTGTCACCAATCTTTAGACTACACTAATAAGTAAGCACAGTTGGTTAATGTTACCTGTGGTGACTAAAATGGCGGCTCGTCTCTGATTCCAGCAAACAGAAGAAAGAAAACAGTGGGGACGAACGTTCTAACCTAACCTAACCTATTCTAATAATTTGGTTGGTAATAATTATGGTAATTTATTAGACTAGATCAGGTTAGGTTAGAATGTGCATCCCCACTGTTTCCTTTCTTCAGTTTGCTGGAATCAGAGACGAGCTGCCATTTTAGTCACCAAAGGTAACATTAACGCACAATTTTATCATGCGATTGCCGGAAAAAGTATGATAACTTTCTTATTTTTCATCTCTGGTCCAAAAGTAGGGTATCGTTGAACTCGTCTCGGTCCCCTTAGTTCAGATATATACTCAAAGTCCCGAAATTCCATAGGTGGTAATCTATATAATCCCCCATTTCTTTAATTGTAATAATAAAGTAGAACCTCGATTATCCGGACCTCTATTATCCGGCTTGTTCAAAATAAACAAAAATTTTACGAATTTGCTGATTTGCACTTTGCAAATTACGACACTGTTTATGTACATGATGGAATACATAACTTCTTTTGTTTCAACAATGTCTCACCCAGCACAGTGGTCGTAAACACTTAAATATATTTTATTTCGTAATAAAAATATAACTTGACATACGTATTTATAAATAATTTATATTCAAATTACATCATTTCTATGACCAAGGGCGGCGTAAGGCATGGATGACGTGGGCCACTGCCTATGCCTCGCGGTCCGAAGGGCCTCGCACCTCTAAGGTTTGTGCATTATTTAAAAGCCACGAACGCAACGAAAAAATTTTACTCGTCATAAAACGATAAATAGTTTGTCAAATTTTTATTCATAAAAATGCAGTTTCAACTGCTTTTTATTTTATAAAATCTGTCTTCTTGCGCCACCAGAGGGCCTTTTAAACAATAGGTAGTCTGTTCAATAGTAGTCCAAATTCGATACAAACATTTGTTTCTTGAAAATTTGATCACGATTTAAATACAGTATTTATTTTTAATATTACCGATATGTCATTGAAAAGAAAACGCGTTGTATTATCATTAAAAGACAAATTAAAGTATTTGTTTCGATTATCTGAATTTTTCCTTATCTGGATTACCTTCATCCCCAATTAGTCCGGATAATCGAGGTTCTACTGTATTTTAAACCGTTTGATTTTTTTGTATTACAGTTTTATACTTGATTGATGATTGATTCTATTAACTAATTTGTTGATTGTTTGATCATATTAACTTGATTCTTTAGATATCGAAAATTAAATAAACAACATTATTAATAAAATTGAAGACAAAACTGTCCAAAAAGGATCACCATTTATTTTTTGTGTTCCAAGACTAACACATTCTCAGCAACTGACCTTTCTTTGTAGGCTGTTTGTCGCCGGAAAATTACAAAGAGTCCTTTTAAAAAACACAAAACACATCCAATTAAAATTACAAAAATTTCTGAAAAAGGAACTGGTGACATACAGTTGTTCTGCTTACATCCATCTGTACCTTCTTTTGGGGGTTTTGGCTGCTTTTTTTTCAGCCAAAACTTCCAAAAGAAGGTACAGATGGATGTAAGCAGAACAACTGTATGTCACCAGTTCCTTTTTCAGAAATTTTTGTAATTTTAATTGGATGTGTTTTGTGTTTTTTAAAAGGACTCTTTGTAATTTTCCGGCGACAAACAGCCTACAAAGAAAGGTCAGTTGCCGAGAATGTGTTAGTCTTGGAACACAAAAAATAAATGGTGATCTTTTTTTTTTAATTGAATTTCTTATGAAATTTTCTTATTCTTTTAATTATACTTTCTTATTCTTTTTTATGAAATTTTCTTATTCTTTTAATTGAATTTAATATTCATTTATATATATAAATGGTGATCCTTTTTGGACAGTTTTGTCTTCAACTTTATTTAAAATATTTCTCCATCGGACGAACATTTACAGGATAAACAACATTATGTTAATTTAAGCGTACAGAAACGTTACTGTTGTACCAGCTAAGATCATATTTTCACTTTACCGAGTGCCTAGTAGGTAATGTGCAGATTACCTAGATACTCTGCACATTACCTAGATAATTTGAGAAATGGAACAATTTTTGCAACTTTATCAGATCACCCTAGTTAATCTGCAGATTAGCTAGGTAATGTACACATTAACGGCTTTCGAGCTTTAGCGGTAACATATATATTTGCTTACCTAGAGATAATGTGGGAATCCAAGAATGAATATATACTATCATTTAAATTGTCGGAGAAAAAAATTTTGTTACAATAAAATGTATGGCATGTAGTGTACAGTTGATATGACTACCAATGGATAGATGTGTAAAATTGAATGTTTCTAATAAACTTTTATTTAACAGAATAATATTGAAATAACTTTAAACCTTTTTAATTCAGTTAAAATTTTCAAGAAAATTTATTAAGAACAATCTAATTTTTCAATTACTATGCATTGTTTTTGATAAATGATTTTCAACTTTTGGCACTTTTAAAAATTAATTTATATAATTTTTAATATTTATTTGTGATATTTTAAGTGTTGTGTGTGCTAAATATTTATAAACTTGATAGTTTCGTTTAGTTATTTTTTTAATACAACATTCATTAAAAATTTTAAATATTTTTAAATGTATTCTCTATTATTCTATAAATAAATAATTGTTTTTCTAAGTTCTTGATATTCATTTCTTTTCTATTTTAGTATTTCAACAATGAATTGCATGAAGCCCAACATTATGATAAATCACTTATAAAATATGAACATGCATCATTAAAGACAACAACAAGCTTGGCATTTTTAAATTTTGGTCAAAATTTCATTTTCACCATAGCTCTTTCTGGAATCATGATTATGACAAGCCAAGGAATTCTTGAAGGTTTGATAAAATTATTTTTTTGAAGAAAACCTAAATCTTTTAATAATAGAAATAGAATATATTTATAAATAAATTAAGATTATATATAAATTATGTTTTGAGATACCATGAAGTGTTGACACTAGACACTGGACTTTTCCACATCCACTTTATTTTCCTATGTACTTTACAGTCTTTAAAGCATTGAAATTATAAGATCTAATAATAAAATCAATAAAAATTTAAATATTAAAAAATATGATAATTGGGTAAAATTATTGTAAAATCAAATAAATAAATATGCCAATTATAGATGTGTAAATGCATATATACAAATTATTTAATATGTAAGTGCAGTTTGTGGGATGATTTGCAGAGTGCTAAGCTTATGTTAAGTAGTATATGACTGCTGTCTTATGGTATGTACTGTACAATATTATTGATACTGTGTCCATTGTAGAAAATGAAACTCTACAAGTAATTCTTTAAATAAAAAGTTACATCAAGGCATGTAAGATATTTTTTATTAGAAGTTTAGTGTTGTATAGTTTTAAGAAATTTTAAATAATTTACAGTACACAGTGGTGTTTTAGTTTTATGTATGTCGACAATAGAACAAAAATTGCTGTAAAGAACATGTATCAGATGTGTCTAAAACAGGAAAAAATTTTGTAAAGAGATATTTTGCTAATATATTGTATTGATAAATATCGATAGCCAACAGACTAGGGCAGTGATTAGGGGCACCAGCCTAAAACACATATTGGCACTTGGAATAATTAGTTTAAAGACTCTTAAAGTACATAGGAAAATAAAGTGGATGTGGAAAAGTTCATGGTGTCTCAAATTATAACTTAAAGACACAGTTTCAACACAGAGATTATATATAAATAATAATTGTCAGATTTATTTAGTATTATTTTCATGCTGATATAGAAAGTTTCAGTTATTTACAGTTGACCCCCCCTATAACATGGTAGGTACATTCTGCTTTTTATGAAATTCATGTTCTATGAGTCCTTAAATACATGAGCCAATCACAGCCTGGCATGTATGTAGTTTATGGATTATGGCTGTTTGAAAGGTTTTCTTCCATAAAATTAATTGATTCCAGACTAATTTGACTCAACATTTCCAAAACACGTATAATTTTTTGAGAATAATCCATATAAACTATGCTATAAACAAAAAATTGTAGGATTACTTACTGAGTGTGCACCATTCAACGACGCCATTGCTTAAGCTTGTTTTTGTCGTGGAGCAGTGCATCAAATGGCGGGTGCGTGTTTCCCGATAAATTATTTTTCTGTGAAAAATTTGTTGAACTTTGGGGACATCATTGATATAAATATAATATTTATGGCCGTTAAATAATAAATGGTTTTTAGTAGGTCTGCTGCTCGTTTAAACTCAACAGTTTGTGCAATATCCACTATTGGTCTAGATTTGATCAATCCTGTTGCGACACGGGTCGGCAATAACGTTTTACTGTATTTTTCAAGTTTCTTTTGGTGTGTTTATACAAATATAGTCGCAATTTTTTTGCCATTATATACGAATCCGCCTTATATGAACCCATTTTATAGGGGGGTCTACCATTTTATAGGGGGGTCTAGTAATAACAATTACAATTACAATATCTAGTTATAACATCAATTAATTGTTTATTATTTGAATATCTTCAATAGATAAGAATTTAGAGAAAATTTTATTCTTGAATAAATGCAAAAAAATTAATATATTTATATTAAGTTTAAGATATAAATTATATAATAATGGATATTTAATAAATGTTTATATATTTTTAATTAACTTACTTTAAAATCTTATAAAATGTTTTAAAAATATGTAAAATATTATAGTTGACAGTTTATAGAAAATCAAGAAGCATATATTAATATTTTATATTCAGATTTTAGTCTAGTGCTATTTTCATTTAGTTAATATAAAATGTTTTTGAATTACATTCTCAATTGCTTAAATTGTTCATTGAACAGAATATCATATTGAATAGACACCAAGACCTCTCTAATCAACTCTTTTATTACCTTTATTTATGTAGCAATGCATTTTGGATCAAAAACAAAAGAATTGTTATCAATTCCTCTTTAAGCTAAAAATCTAAAAAAGGTATACATTAATCTCTTTAACATATAACTAACCATTTTACAAAGATGAAACTTCATGATACATGAATCCAAGTAATTTCTGTATCTTACTATCCTGCTTCATGTCTATAACACTTTTTATAGTTTGTTATGACATTGTAAAGAGATTTGTTTATATCTTTGTAAAATAGTCACTTATATTAATGCATACCTTTTTAAAATTTATAGTCTGAGGAGGGATTGATAACACATTTTTTGTTTTTGATCTGAAATGCATTTATAAATAAATTGCATTGGTAATAAAAGAGTTGTGACAATGCGCAAAGTGCCCCCTATGCTTCGGCACCATGGGACCAAAGGGTCGACACCGCATTTACAATGACTAGTTCATCAGGACTGACACCACTGTGTCTTTTAGGTAAACACAGAAACCTAAATGGCCTAATAGCACTAATTTCGTTTTTTGTGCCGGTTGTCGTGTTGTAGGCACTTGGATCTGATGGAGATGGCATGGACTAAGGAAGTGCACCATACACAATTCTAACAATTACAATTATTCGTTTATTTATCTAATTATACAAATGAGGTTAACATTTTATAGTAAGAGTTATGTCTACAATATTAACTAATTTGTGAGTTTTACATTGGAGAGAGAGAGTTACATATACATTTCATAGATACCTGGTAAGGGATCTGAGGTGAATCGAAGGATTGATGGAATCACTTTTTCAAAGTGTTCACTTTTATGGAGTTCACTTTTAAAAGGAGTTCATTTTTGATGGAATTCACTTGGATGGAGGAAGGTCACTAAGGTATCCGATTGTAGGTATCCAATTCTGGCTAGAGCAAACTTTGATGATGATGGATTCTCGGACAAACTTCTCTTGCCAGACGAACTCTTTTCATCATCAGTCATTGCCTTTTATTGGGGTTCTCCCTCTTTTCTCCCTTGCCCTTTTTTCACAATGTTGCAGTGCCTATGTCCAATAGCAATTTCTCATCTTCAAGTTCCTGATGACACATTTGATGTATCATCTTAAAAGGAAAGTTACTCCACAGAGGAATAAAATCATATCCTTTACAATTTTAACAATTGTGGGAAAAATTATAGCATGGTTTTAATTTCAGATTTAAATTTTCACCTGTAAAATATTTTGTCAATTCAGCTCTCTCACATTGTTGATTATTATAAAAAGAGAGATATTATAAATAACATGGATACCTATTATTTATATTTTTTATTCATGAGAAAGTTTTTATTATTATTATTATTATTGTTATTTTCAATTATATTTAATTATTACTCTTTCCAGATTCTGTATTTGCATTCTCTCTTTTGAAACAAATCTCAAATATATGTCACATACAAATCTGAGGTTTGTCAGAAGAGAGAATTTTTCACTGAGAAATGTGTTGATTGGATATTTTCAGTTATCTTGACTTTGGTAATTATTCAATCTTATAAAGTCAAGAAAATATTGATTGCTAATCATCTCAGGATATTTCTTTTCATATTAACATTATTGATAAGTTTAAACACACATGATAACAATACATTTATTAAATAATGTTATTTATTTCTAATATATATTGACTTATATATGTAGCACATTATATTGCATAATGCTTTTAAACAATGCAAATACCACATAATTTTCATTTATGTAGTAAAAGAATTTATTGATGACATAACTTACATTTAAAATTTAAAATATTAATTTATGATTTTTGATTTATGTATTAAAATTTAATATTTTATAAATTAGGTACTTTAACTGTTGGGGATCTAGTTATGGTAAATGGATTACTGTTTCAGTTATCATTGCCACTTAATTTCTTGGGTTCTGTATATCGAGAAGTTAGACAGTCATTGATTGACATGCAAACAATGTTTAGTCTTATGACATTGGAACCAGCTGTAAAGGTAACCTTCTAAAATTTTATTATCTTAACACTAAGTATTGTTTATCTAACTTTTTAAAATAATTAAGGGTAAAATTGGTGCTCCCTTGTTACAAATAACACCTCCAGAAGCTACAATAAAATTTGAAGATGTCTATTTTGAATATGTGAAAGGACAAACTATTTTAAATAACTTAAGTTTTGAAGTACCTGCTGGGAAAAAAATTGCTCTTGTTGGAGGAAGTGGATCTGGGTATTTGAATTTTTTTTTATTTAATATCACTTTAGATTTTGATGTCATAATTAATGTCATTTTATAATAATTATGTCATTAATGTCATTTTATAATAATACTTTTTGTTAAATATTTTGAATATTTTTATTAAAAATAATGCAATTATGTGTACTTATACAATCATTTTTTGTAATTATAGAAATTTGTATTCCAGAACAAATGTCACTCTACATGAAAAATTTTTCAGTTTATGGAAACAAATAAATTTGAGATTATTTATTAGTTATTAATGACAAGTATTGAAAAAGAAATATCAAAACATTACAATTCTTGAATTTAGTTTTTTTTTTTAAACATTAGTATTTCATAATTTATATTTGTATGGAAAATGCTTTTAGAGACATAAGTAATATAAATAACTGCACTTATAATAACAGCTTATATGTCAGCAAAAAGGCATTTTATTATATGATAAAATAATGCTTTCTTGTTGATAAAATAATGTCAAAAATCAGATATGAGAGAGTGAGAGAGATTATATACAGTGAGAAATAAAAACAATATGATTGTTCTTAAATTGAACCAGGAAAAATAAAAAAACATTTATCTTTAACATTTCCAAAAACAAATGTGCTAGTGGATTTTCTAAGGAATTATTCAAGTTGGGAAAAATATAAATCAATATTTTCATTGCAACTTCAGTTGTAAGCAGTTTTTTACTTTAATTTAATTAGAAACAATGTATCATTATTATTTAATTAGAAAGAAATGTTCTTTGTTAATTAATAAATTTTTTAAAATGTTATTCTTCCAGATTAAATCAAACAATAATAATTTTATGTAATAACTGTTTTTATTACAATTAAAACAAAGTGAATTATAAGTCTGCTGCCTGTCATCAACTGTTGCTCTAAATTTTGTAAAGAAGCAATTTTACAGTTTCTAATTAAAGTATAATAATAAAAGTTTTTATAATCTAAATTACTGTACATTGATAAACTTTCATACATATTTTTTCTGACTAACATAACTCTATAGACCCAGGGTGGCCAAGCTCCTTGATAGTCCGAGCCATTTTTCAAAATTTGAAATTTTTCGCGAGCCGCNTACTCAATTCAACAAACTTGACTTGCTATAACAAATTTTCAATTAATAACATGTTTTTATTTTTATTTTGTCTTCCGTAAACATTTTTTATGATAAAAATAAAACAACGAAGACTTTGTTGATATTTCCGATTAACATCAACAAAAAAGCTCAGATGATGATGATATTTTGTAAAAAGAAAACATCCTTGTTTAACTAAAATTAATATTAATGCATAATACAGTAGTTTTAATTGTGATTGTTAGTTAATTATCGATTGGGAATAAATTATTGGTTGCTTTAATAAATGTATTTCTCTTGGTAATAAAAAACAATAGTACTGTATACTTTTGTTAACTTCTGGAACCTAACCCTATGTTTTGTATTAGTCGTTTGTTTCGTATAGCACGGCACTTTTTTGGAACGTAACTATCAGGTTATACGAGGGATAACTTGATATTGATAACATGATATTAAGTAAGATGTAAACTATATTATGTTATATTGATATGCAGTTTTTAATGTTTTAGTGACTGTCAAAAAAATGAAATATGTGATACTGATGAGGATTATTGAATGGAAATGCATTTATCACAATAAAGACATTGAAGAAAAGTAAATTAGTTTTTATTTGGTTATTCTTTTCTCTTTTTTAAAATAGTTTTAGCTCGGATAAACAGTCGGTAAAGAAGTTTTGGAAAACATATTTTGGTTTTAACAACTAACTACCTTTTTAGATATTTATATAAAATATTTTCTTCTTAGAATTTTCTTAATTTTTCTTTCTTAAATCTTGTTACTGTTACGGGCTGTTACACTCAGAATATGAAGTCAGAAGACAGCTTACCAAAACTGACACTTTTATTTAGGTCCACTAACAATTTACATCTAATAGACACTACAATGTCTCTTACACTGTTCACTTCTCTGGCACTTCAACAACACTCTGTTACCCATCCATACCGCTGACATTACAGATTTCCTCGGCCACATTTGGTCTTTCCTATTCTCCTACTATTCCAGTCTCTCATAACTTCTCAAAGGGTTGAACAAGTTAGAAGTATACACACCCATAGATGGGTTCCCTAGGATGTACCGATACAACACAGAGTTACCACATTATACTGGTATGTTTCCACCAACCAAACATTAACCAACCTGCCTGAACAAATAAACATCTCTCCTCTCTTCCTTTTTGTTTCCCCGCTCTCCACACAATGGCACTAACTCCCCTGGTCTGGCGCAACATTACTATTGATATGTCAGGAAATAAATACTAATTTCTAGAAACAATAAGTTTTTTAAAAATACATTTTAGTCGTTTATTTTTGTTATTTAAGTATAAATTAAACTTAAATAACAAAAGAAAAATAGCAGAAAAGAGTTATTGTATCATATTAAAATAATACAATACAATAACTTTTTTCTGCTGTTAAAATTCAACTTATATTTAATTTATGGATATTCTACATTTTAATAATAAATTAATCGATTTGGCACAGACTAATTCACTATAATAAACACTATATCAGTCTTACTAATTTCTAAAACATTTTTCTGTTTAGTTTATGAAGGGATGTAATTTTATGTCGGATAGCATAAGTTTAAGAATTTCAGGAGAATGAGTGCCATGTCATGGATTGCTCATTAAGGTCAATATGTATAAGTGGCAAAATAAATGTGATACTGACATTTGTCATATCTGATTATTATTACTGTAACAATTTTCATTATAACATATCATTTTTAGGTGAAAACCAATTGCTGATGGTTTAACAAGAGAAAGCTTGGGAGAAAATTTTGATTAATTTTACTTCTTATAAATTTTAACAAAATAATGTGTACCAAAGTTCTTTTTTTGATATCTTTAATTAATATTTCCTTAAACATTTGTTCAATATTCTTCATTTTTTCTACTTTATGGAACATAATGATCAAAATGAGGCACCCTTCTATCATATGATTGATTGTCAATATACTGTATATCACTGCTGTTGAAGTATAGCACTGCCATACTTGGACAACTCAAACAAAGCTGGGAGTTTTCAAATGGTTGGGACAGCAATTGACAAAATTTGTCTTTGACACTAACTGTCCTGTTTTGCTGTTCTTGGGCATTGACCTGTAAAGAAAAACTATACTATAATTCATGTATTGATTTGCCTGAAGATTAAGAATTCTTAAGTTTCAAAACTATTTGTTTTTAATAAAAATTTCTAAATTATAAAATACCAAAGAATTAAAACCCTTTCTTCAAAAATAATAATAGTGAGATCTAACAGTGATTCTAGACTTTGGTTAATGTGAGAGAAATACAATTAATAATCTTAATTATTTATATTTGTCTAGTTTTTCATTTGCAAATTAACAGCAACTGTTAATCTGTTTTGTACCTCTTGTACAGGTAAACCTTTGAAAAACAGCGACAGAGGGAAGCAAAAAAAATGGCTGTTTTTTGGGAACTATTCTGTATATAATTTTGTTAAAAAAAACAAAATAATAATTTCTTGAAAAAATGACCATTGTTTAGAAATATCTGTTATTGGGAAGTGACTATTATAGTATTGAAGGTTCAACTGTAACTAAATTACCATTTTCAAATTAATTTTATTATTGAAAAATTTGTAGTCATTTTTACTATTACAGAAATATACAGAAGATTATAGGAATATTTATCTTAATTGTGATTAGTTTAGTTTTTCAGATGATTCCAAAAAATTGCACCAAAATTATATATTAAAAATCATAACAACAGATTTACTATTAAAATTTGTGTGAGTAAATGAAGATAAAGTACAATATAGAAAAGCTTTTTCTAATGTGAGGTCATGTATTTATAATTTCTCCTGAGAGCTTTATAATTTTTCAATCCATTATAAGCAGTTTATTTAATATATTTTTATCTAAGGTATTAAAAGGGTTTAATTAATTAATTTCTTAATTAAAAACATTGCATTTTATATTATTTTTCTTTGTTAAATTTGACATATATATGTCAAGGTTTGGAAATTTAATAAATGTTGTTAGTTTTCCAAAGTTAGGTTAAGCAATCTTTCAGAAGATATTCATTAAAACAATTTTATTTGAATTTAAATATTTCTAGAAATTAATGCAGTGGTTTCCAACTAGTATTGGTTCCCAACTAGTATGCTGTGAAGCCATTCTAAGTATGCCACAAGATGAATTAAAAAAATTAAAACAACTTATTTTAAAATTTATTTTTAAAAAATTAAAAAAACATACTTCTATATGTTATCAACTGTATTTCAGAAGTTTTTACCAGTAAGCTATCATAGAAAAAGTATTAGAAAGTGCTCTATGATTGATCTGTTGGCTAGTCCAGTAATACTTAATACAGTAGTAAAGTGTGCCACAACTTTTCACACAATTGTTAAGTGTGCTGTGGACCCAAAAAGCTTGGGAACCCCTGAATTAATATAATATAATGATGCAAATAAAAAATATTCATAAAATATATTTATTTTCTCTAGGAAAACAACAATTGTTAGATTATTATATCGTTTTTTCGAGCCTCAAAATGGTCGGATTCTTATAGCAGGTAGAAATATCAGGGATGTTGATATTGAAAGTCTGAGAAGAAATATTTCTGTAGTACCTCAGGTAAATGCAATTTAAAGTATATATTTAAATAATATCTAATAAAGTTACATTGGCCTTACTTAACGATATGAAATGCTTGAATAGAAAGCAGACTTCTTAGAGAAAAATAATATAGTGGTTTTGAATAATATAGAGAATATTGTAAATATATTACTGTGAAAAATCTGAAATCTCAAAAATGTCAAATCATTTAAAATGAATAAAATTTGTAAATAATTCCAATTTTTGCTATTTTTTGATCAATAAATAAAATGTAACAAAAATCTTTGGTCACTACATTATTAGAAAAATTAGTTTCTAAAATAATTTTATTAATTAGCTAAACTTAAGGAATAGAATTAATCTCTTAAAAACCTTTAACCTGCATGTAGTATGACTAATTGTCCAAGCAAATGTTTTCGGATCCCTCCTGGGTCCTTCTTCAAGCTACTATTCGTCTGTAACGATCAATTAGAACGAAGATCAGTCGTTATGGAACAATGTTTCAAACTGCAAACTTTGAATTCCAACAGGAATCACGTGCATTCCAGGATTTGTAAATTACAGTTATGATGCAATTGCCGGTTTTTTATAATGTGATTTTCAGATCTTTTATACAAATAAAAAATATAAATTTGCATTAACGGGTTGGGTATCGTGTAAATGATTGTGGAAATATCCTTGTTATTATAATCCTTGTTATTATAAGTGTTACTAATTTATGAATCCTGGAATGCATGTGATTCCTGTTGGAATTCGAAGTTTGCAATTTGAAACATCGTTCCATAATGACTGGTCTTCGTTCTAATTTGATCATTACAGATGAATAGTAGCTTGAAGAAGGTCCCAGGAGGGATCCAAAAACATTTGCTTGGACAATTAGTCTTACTACATGCCAGTTAAAGGTTTTTAAGAGATTAATTTTCATATTACTCTGGTGTGCGTGAAGTCTTTATGAAAAGAAAAAATTTAACTTAAAACCTTTGATAGATTTTTTCAATTTCGTTGTAGTGAAACTTCTGGTCACCAGTGTATGTCAAGCATCTTTTTGTTCAATCATCAATTTTGTACAAATGTTATACATAAATAATTAATTCCTGACCTTCATCAATTTTCCATTATGTAAAAAAGATATTTTTAGCACCTTTTTCTTTATGTTCATTTTTAAATATTTAACAACTTTTTTAACTTCTCTAGATATGAGGATTATCATCAAAAACTAAACTTCTTACACCTTTTAATTCTTAGTTTCTCTGTAAAACCAAAAATCCACAAAAAATAAGCTTCTCTTTTCTCTGGGATACAGCACCCTAATCTATAATATTTATCTAATTCCACATTATTAATTCCCATCTTATCAGAAAAAAATTGTAACACTATTTTGTCATCTTCATTATCCATTTCAACATGACTGAAAGAATTACTTTGTTACATGTTAAGAAACATTTAAATTTTTTTTGAGTTTGAATTCTGTAATATGATGTTGAACATTCTCCCATTTTGATGACAAAACACCACAGCTGCCTTTACCTTTTGACAAACTTTTCTGTAAACATTTGACTTTGGCTTCTAAATTAATTGTGGTTTCATCTAGGTTCTGCATCCAAGAGGAAATTCTGTCTACCCTATCAGCCATTCTCTCAAGCTTAGAGTTCTATTTTCAGTTCAATTGGATAAACAGCAAGATGCCTTTTTTAAATATCAAAATCACTGTGCAGTACATGCAAAATTTTCATCTCCTGTAACACATCTGAATGAAACAACTTTGCTCTGCTCTAGGACAAACTCACAGGGAATATGTTTTTCTTTTAGACATAATAAGAAAATAAGCCTACCTGGAAAATAAAAATTAAAAAAATTTATAAATTAGAAAAAACTTCATGGGATGTTGCCATGGTTCACTGCCAAAATTTATTAAATTAATATTATTTACTATTTAAATTAATTTTAATTTTTATGTAAGCATAATTTTTATGTAAAATAATTGTATAATTTAATAATTGTTATTTAATAGGATGCAGTTTTATTTCATAATACTATATTATACAATTTACATTATGGAGACTTCAAGAAAACATTAAGTGATGTTTTTGAAGCTGCACGTATGGCTGAAATTCATGACAGCATTCAGAAATGGCCTTTACAGTATGAAACCCAAGTAGGAGAAAGAGGTTTGAAATTATCAGGTATGCGAGATATTTTAAAATATAATATACAAATCAACAATTTNAAATTTGTGTGAGTAAATGAAGATAAAGTACAATATAGAAAAGCTTTTTCTAATGTGAGGTCATGTATTTATAATTTCTCCTGAGAGCTTTATAATTTTTCAATCCATTATAAGCAGTTTATTTAATATATTTTTATCTAAGGTATTAAAAGGGTTTAATTAATTAATTTCTTAATTAAAAACATTGCATTTTATATTATTTTTCTTTGTTAAATTTGACATATATATGTCAAGGTTTGGAAATTTAATAAATGTTGTTAGTTTTCCAAAGTTAGGTTAAGCAATCTTTCAGAAGATATTCATTAAAACAATTTTATTTGAATTTAAATATTTCTAGAAATTAATGCAGTGGTTTCCAACTAGTATTGGTTCCCAACTAGTATGCTGTGAAGCCATTCTAAGTATGCCACAAGATGAATTAAAAAAATTAAAACAACTTATTTTAAAATTTATTTTAAAAAAATTAAAAAAACATACTTCTATATGTTATCAACTGTATTTCTGAAGTTTGTACCAGTAAGCTATCATAGAAAAAGTATTAGAAAGTGCTCTATGATTGATCTGTTGGCTAGTCCAGTAATACTTAATACAGTAGTAAAGTGTGCCACAACTTTTCACACAATTGTTAAGTGTGCTGTGGACCCAAAAAGCTTGGGAACCCCTGAATTAATATAATATAATGATGCAAATAAAAAATATTCATAAAATATATTTATTTTCTCTAGGAAAACAACAATTGTTAGATTATTATATCGTTTTTTCGAGCCTCAAAATGGTCGGATTCTTATAGCAGGTAGAAATATCAGGGATGTTGATATTGAAAGTCTGAGAAGAAATATTTCTGTAGTACCTCAGGTAAATGCAATTTAAAGTATATATTTAAATAATATCTAATAAAGTTACATTGGCCTTACTTAACGATATGAAATGCTTGAATAGAAAGCAGACTTCTTAGAGAAAAATAATATAGTGGTTTTGAATAATATAGAGAATATTGTAAATATATTACTGTGAAAAATCTGAAATCTCAAAAATGTCAAATCATTTAAAATGAATAAAATTTGTAAATAATTCCAATTTTTGCTATTTTTTGATCAATAAATAAAATGTAACAAAAATCTTTGGTCACTACATTATTAGAAAAATTAGTTTCTAAAATAATTTTATTAATTAGCTAAACTTAAGGAATAGAATTAATCTCTTAAAAACCTTTAACCTGCATGTAGTATGACTAATTGTCCAAGCAAATGTTTTCGGATCCCTCCTGGGTCCTTCTTCAAGCTACTATTCGTCTGTAACGATCAATTAGAACGAAGATCAGTCGTTATGGAACAATGTTTCAAACTGCAAACTTTGAATTCCAACGGGAATCACGTGCATTCCAGGATTTGTAAATTACAGTTATGATGCAATTGCCAGTTTTTTATAATGTGATTTTCAGATCTTTTATACAAATAAAAAATATAAATTTGCATTAACGGGTTGGATATCGTGTAAATGATTGTGGAAATATCCTTGTTATTATAATCCTTGTTATTATAAGTGTTACTAATTTATGAATCCTGGAATGCATGTGATTCCTGTTGGAATTCGAAGTTTGCAATTTGAAACATCGTTCCATAATGACTGGTCTTCGTTCTAATTTGATCATTACAGATGAATAGTAGCTTGAAGAAGGTCCCAGGAGGGATCCAAAAACATTTGCTTGGACAATTAGTCTTACTACATGCCAGTTAAAGGTTTTTAAGAGATTAATTTTCATATTACTCTGGTGTGCGTGAAGTCTTTATGAAAAGAAAAAATTTAACTTAAAACCTTTGATAGATTTTTTCAATTTCGTTGTAGTGAAACTTCTGGTCACCAGTGTATGTCAAGCATCTTTTTGTTCAATCATCAATTTTGTACAAATGTTATACATAAATAATTAATTCCTGACCTTCATCAATTTTCCATTATGTAAAAAAGATATTTTTAGCACCTTTTTCTTTATGTTCATTTTTAAATATTTAACAACTTTTTTAACTTCTCTAGATATGAGGATTATCATCAAAAACTAAACTTCTTACACCTTTTAATTCTTAGTTTCTCTGTAAAACCAAAAATCCACAAAAAATAAGCTTCTCTTTTCTCTGGGATACAGCACCCTAATCTATAATATTTATCTAATTCCACATTATTAATTCCCATCTTATCAGAAAAAAATTGTAACACTATTTTGTCATCTTCATTATCCATTTCAACATGACTGAAAGAATTACTTTGTTACATGTTAAGAAACATTTAAATCTTTTTTGAGTTTGAATTCTGTAATATGATGTTGAACATTCTCCCATTTTGATGACAAAACACCAAAGCTGCCTTTACCTTTTGACAAACTTTTCTGTAAACATTTGACTTTGGCTTCTAAATTAATTGTGGTTTCGTCTAGGTTCTGCATCCAAGAGGAAATTCTGTCTACCCTATCAGCCATTCTCTCAAGCTTAGAGTTCTATTTTCAGTTCAATTGGATAAACAGCAAGATGCCTTTTTTAAATATCAAAATCACTGTGCAGTAAATGCAAAATTTTCATCTCCTGTAACACATCTGAATGAAACAACTTTGCTCTGCTCTAGGACAAACTCACAGGGAATATGTTTTTCTTTTAGACATAATAAGAAAATAAGCCTACCTGGAAAATAAAAATTAAAAAAATTTATAAATTAGAAAAAACTTCATGGGATGTTGCCATGGTTCACTGCCAAAATTTATTAAATTAATATTATTTACTATTTAAATTAATTTTAATTTTTATGTAAGCATAATTTTTATGTAAAATAATTGTATAATTTAATAATTGTTATTTAATAGGATGCAGTTTTATTTCATAATACTATATTATACAATTTACATTATGGAGACTTCAAGAAAACATTAAGTGATGTTTTTGAAGCTGCACGTATGGCTGAAATTCATGACAGCATTCAGAAATGGCCTTTACAGTATGAAACCCAAGTAGGAGAAAGAGGTTTGAAATTATCAGGTATGCGAGATATTTTAAAATATAATATACAAATCAAGAATTTTTTGACAGGTATTAAGTAATTTGTTGTCAGTGTCATATTAAAAATTGAGATTTAATAGAATCAAAATCTTTGAATGAAAAAATTAAAACATCAAAAAATTCTTTAACATTTGTGTATAGTTTGATCCTGATTTACAAATAACTGATATGAGAATTCAATACATTGAGCTATTTGCTTTTATCTTTCTTTTCTATTTACAAGAATAAATATTTGATACAATGAGTACCTACCAATGTTTACAAAAACAAAATATTTTAATCAAAAGTGCAATAAAATTGAAATTCCTGTATATTCCAAATAGATGGTTCATAACCTCAGTTTCCATTTTGTTTCATTTACAATGTATGTTCATTTAAAAGTTTATTAAACTATATGGCTGTGAAGTTTAATACAATTTTTCTCCACATTAGAAACCTTTTTATTGGTGATCACAATATCATTAATTAAAAACGAGTTTATTTTACTCTATTTTACTTGCTTTCTGCTTACTGATTATTTTAATTAACTTTTATTTTCATACCAATAAATGAAGGAATGTCTAATAAGTTACTTATTGCTTGTGTCCTTTACTTTTAACATTTTATAATGTATTTGTTCCTTTTATATTGGTGAGTAACCTAATTATTTCATTATATTTTTCTATGTAATATATAGACAAATATCAATGAATAATTATCAATGAATAATGATCAATTATCAATGAATAATTCACATAAATATATAATATTTATGTGAATTATTCATTGATAAATAAATATATATTTTATAACATTTTAATATTATTTGAAGAGTGTGGATAAGGTGACAGGATTATGCTAGAACAAAGTATGAATTTTGATCATAAAAAGATAATTACTAAGCTTGTCTCTATTTATGAGATTTTGACAAGAATTTTTCAGGAACATTTGCATTAACCATATATGTGGTGACTTGCAAAATTCTTTTTCATTCATAGCTTTTTATTATTGCAATTATCAATATCAATTTTATTAGTAAATAATATCAAAGAAATGTACTTAATAGAACTTCCTCAGAACTTATATTTAAAAAATGCAATAACTTGACAAATATTTTGTTTTTTAGTAGTTAGTTTCTATTATAAAAATTCTTAAGATTTTTTAATAATATCCATAAAGTATTTTTCAATGATCTATTTGCTCATGGAAACTTTTTATGAATGCCATTAATTATTGCTTTTCTGAAAATGATGTACAGTACAACAAAGGGATTCTTGTTGTTTGACTTTGTAAAATAGTACTTTAATACTCATATTAAATGTCTAATTATAAATGATTTATTTCCTCATAAAGCATTATAAATCATTTATAGGTTTTTTTGCAGTTTCTATCTTGTAACAGAATATAGTTTGATCTTAATGCCAAATATCAGATAAGAGGAAGTAAAGATACATTGAGTGCGGCATTAAGTTTTTTATTTTCACTAGTGCTTTCAATGAACTTATGTTCATTGTCATCAGGCAAACAAAACTTTAAAAAATAGAATACAATGTTCTAATGTAAGTGGAACACATATTATTTAAAATTAGAAAACAAAAAAACTTAAAAAACTGTTATGAACATGCTACAAAGTTTGATTTCACTAGATGTTGTGATGTCTTGCAGTGCATGTGTAGATATAGACCCACATTAAAGATGTGATAGCAGACATATATCACCATTTAACCTTTTATATAAGGCAATGCACATTGGGCAGGTCAAATGTGAGAGTGTTGCATGACTTCAAGATTTTCGTGAGCGGAGATTCTCATATAAACATTAGTTTCCAGTCATTGCAACATCTGAATAGCATTGTTTGAGCCCATAATGGATTGTAGTTCTGTTTGAGCACCTTTTTTGCGAGCTCTGTAGTACACTTTCCTTTAACCATGTCATCCTTGTGCTCAGCTAGGTGGCTGTCAAGCATTTGTGTTGTGGCCCCAATGTACTTTTACCTTGTGTTCACCCCCATTATGGGATTCTCCAATGCTATAGCATAGACTCCCAATTTTTCAAAGGTGGAGAATTTATCCTGATCATTGCAGATGAGTCTGCACAAATTTGGTTTCGGATATAGGGTGAGGAGAAAGTTATGTTGCCTGAATATAAAACAAATGTGTATGGCAAGAAGTCCGAGGTATGGTAAGGGCAGTTGAACTACTGAACCTACTTCTTGTTGTGTAGTGTTGTGCTTGGAAATAGAGATTCCCTAACCATTTACACACATGCACGTTAGAGGTATGATACTGTCATTTACATGGGTCTATATCTACACATGCACTGCAAGACATCACAACATCTAGTGAAATCAAACTTTGTAGCACATTCATAACAGTTTTTTAATTTTTTCTTTGTTTTTTAATTTTAAATAATATGTGTTCCACTTACATTAGAACATTGTATTTNGAGGCATTAAGTTTTTTATTTTCACTAGTGCTTTCAATGAACTTATGTTCATTGTCATCAGGCAAACGAAACTTTAAAAATAGAATACAATGTTCTAATGTAAGTGGAACACATATTATTTAAAATTAGAAAACAAAAAAACTTAAAAAACCATTATGAACATGCTACAAAGTTTGATTTCACTAGTTGTTGTGATGTCTTGTAGCACATGTGTAGATATAGATCCATGTTAAAGATGTGATAACAGACATATATCACCATTTAACTATTTATATAGGGCAATTCACATTCTAGGCAGGTCAAATGTGAGAGTATTGTATGGCTTCAAGATTTTTGTGAGAAGAGATTCTCATATAAACATGAGTTTCCAGTCATTGCAACATCTGAATAGCATTGTTTGAGTTCTGTTTGAGCACCTTTTTTGCGAGCTCTGTGGTACACTTTCCTTTCACCATGTCATTCTGGTGCTCAGCTAGGCGGCTGTCAAGCATTTGTGTTGTGGCCCCAATGTACAGTACCGGTACCTCGTGTTCACCCCCATTATGGGATTCTTTAATGGTATAGCATAGACTCCCAATTTTTCAAAGGTGGAGAATTTATCCTGATCATTGCAGATGAGTCTGTGCAAATTTGGTTTTGGATATAGGGCGAGGAGAAAATTATGTTGCTTGAATATACAGGGGTCCTAGATACAGTAATGGCAGTTGAACTACTGAACCTCCCTCTTGTTGTGTAGTGTTGTGCTTGGAAATCGAGATTAAAAAACTGTTAACACTGCACTCAGTGTAGACAAATATTTATTTAAATAATTTAACTATATAATATAATTTAAAAATAAATCTGGAAGATTATATTTGGTTTTACAGAAAATCATGGCTGCATTACATAGAGCATCATTAGGAAGAACATCAGTATGCATTGCACACAGACTTTCTACAGTAGTGGATGCAGATGAAATTCTTGTCTTAGATAAAGGTGAAGTTAAAGAAAGGGGAAACCATCAGACTTTATTATCTGATACCAATTCACTTTATGCGCAATTATGGTATACTCAGCATCAACCTGATCATCCTATGTTTGTCAAACAAAGTGGAAATAATAACAGTGATGCATCCTCTACTAAGTAGTAAAAGAAAAATAATGTGATTGTGAAAATAAGTAAGAATAGTGATAAATATAATAGATTTTATTTAAAACTTTTTATTAAGTAATATAGCAAAGTGGTCAGTCATCATCTAATCTAATATATTATAAACATGGTAAGATTTAAACTTGAAATAGTTTTTCTGTGAACAGTATTTTGATATCTAATAATTTTATCTAGAGCAAAAAAATAAGAATAAAGTACAGATTGTGGTTAATATTTTTAAATAAGATTATTTAAGAAATAATGTATAAAATGTATCATTTATAAAAGAAAATAATTAAATATATTTAAAATTTTATTCTAATTTACTGTTAAATCAAATAAAATTGAATGAAGATATATTGAAAATAATTCAATGGAAATTTTAATGTATTTATCAATAATTCAGATAATGTTAAAAATGTGTACAGAATTGACACTGCCAATTTAATAAATATTTATTACGTAAGCTTTCTGAAATATTACTTTATTTACAGATAATTTGTGAAATATGAATTAAATAGGAATAAAACTATTAAACAGATTAAGGAATAAAAAAATATACTATTGAATTATCCATTTTATTTCATTTTATACAGTAATGCACATATATAATAATAATTTTCACACACATTAGTTGGCTTTTAAATAAAATTTTATCTGAACTATTTCTGTTTAATAGATTTTCAATAAAAATTATTAAAAATAAATTTAAATGCTGCTTAATAACTACATTGATTATCATTATTTTATGAAACACTGTTTTTCAGAACTTAGTTTTAATACCTTTCTCTTTTTTTAAATTAGAATAAAGATTAGAAATTTTGAAGACTGCCATATAAATTTTGAAATTAAACAATAAATACTTTTTAACTCCATTTTTGAAATTTTTTTCTTTGCAATTCAAAATGTATTATCACAAGATTTTTTTTAAAATAAAAAGCATAATTTGGTATCCATATTCTGATATTTTATTATATTGTATTTAGAGGATATTCTATTTTTTCCTAAGTGAATTCAAGTTTGAAAAGTGTTTATACCTACATTTTATATAGTACTTACTAGCTGTATGTTCCTGGCATTGCTTGGGTTAATTTATTTTATAAACATATATTTATAAACAGTATTTTACAGTGAATTGATGAATTTCCATATAAATTATAAACTTTTTCTACTTTGGTTCTCTGCAAACTTCAATAAAGGAACATTTTACATTAAATAAGACCAAGAAAACTTAAATTCTATTAATGAAGTAATAAGTTGTTTGATCCTAGTCTCGACTTAGTTTTTATCTTTCTTTAATCATAGATTTCTAATTATTATTATCTGTTCTTTATGTTACGAAAATTTTTTATGTTTTTTATTACTGCATGGAAGCATATACATCCTGTTTTGGGATTGATTTAGGTTTATATGTGAGGTTACATACACTATAGACTGTTCAATCGATCTTTTATTCATTGAAGGCAGTTCTAACCAATAGTATATTGAAATATGGTGATAAGAGTACATTGTTTTAAAATGATTAAAAATCGTTCAATCCTATCGTTTTTCAGATTTCGTTTAAATTTAATTCTAAACTTCTAATTACTATAGCTTGATATTTATGCAAACGAATGTATAGAAGATTGTATGAACAAAATATTACCTTCAAATTCATCTAAAATAAATTTCTTTACATTGGACTTCTTAAATTAAATACACACAGAAACATTTATTAAAAACGAGCAATTACAGTATTTATGTGACATTGCCACAATGCTCTGAATTTTAGCAGTGTCTTACCCTTGTATCATACCATCATACTTTTTTTGTTAACAATGAGTCCTGCTGGTCGTTATCTAACTCCGTTCTGGAGATTAAGGAAGAAATTAAGTGTACAATTTTTGAAAATTGCAATACAGTAATGTACTGGCATATATTTGGAAAGTGTTGAAAATAACGAAGAAAACAATTTTAAAAATTTTTAAATGATTAATATTGTTTAATTATTTAGTAAATACAAACTATTATATATACATGTACAGTACAATACAGTAATATCCTCCTTTCAAACCTTCATCGACCCCATTGGGCTGCTCTGATGTAAATGCTATAACCATTCATATCATTTAGTAAAACCATATATTAAACTAACCTATAATTTAAAAAAATTTTCCTAAGATAAACGTCTAAAGTCAGGATCAGACATAGATCCTGGGATCCCTAATTCAAATTTGTCGGGGCCTCTTGAAGCTATAACGCACCACTAAACTGATAATATCTAAAATGAAATTTAAATGTGTATCTACCTCTTTTGATTAGATTTCTCACAAAAATGCTTGTGTGTTTATTATATGTACAAATTGATAAAAAAATTATTGGATTTGTTTTATAATTTTTATATGATGATTTGGACTAAATGAATGATTGTTTTTATACTACCGAGATTGCTTTTATCGTATATTTTCAGCCGAGAAATAAAAATTTGACTTATGCTTTCACATGTATTTACTGTAAAAACACAGAGAGTGCCTTTCTAGCAAGCCCATTATGGATTCGGCCATAATAGGCTTGCTAACGTCCATCAGAAGTATCTTCTCCATCCGTAGGGCCCGCTGGAAGTTTTGCAGATCCTCGGGAAACGTTATTAGTAGAGCTCCAAAATATTTGCAAAAAAGGAATTTATTTTAATCGAAAACTCGTGTAATTTTATTAAACATAATTTACAAACGTTAAATACATATAGTTATGTATTCGGAAAAGAATGAAAAACACAAAATATCAAATTTTCTTAGAAATTTGAAAGTGCGGTGCTTCGATGTGAGGCCGAAAAACCGACATCTGTGATCCGACCTTGCATCCTTCTCCATTCAATTGTATGTCATATTCAATTGTAAACTGTGAAATTAATTCCATCCATTATCAAATTAATAATATATAAATCATCTCGGATTATAAGAATAAAGAATAATAATGAATTAAATTGAGGAATTATTAATTTCATCTTGACGAGCAATCGCTCAAACGTAGCAATTTTTGCTAGATAGAAATACTTTAAAATTAAACTTTTCGAATTTTAAAATATAAAACTAATTTTAGTTTATGAATATTTTGAAAAATTACTTTAAAATTTATATCATATTCGATAAAAAAAAATAATAATAAAATCGATTCGGAATTATATAAATTTTTTGAAAATTAATTTCACTCGCCAGAGGGTGCTGATAATGCAGTTTGTATAGCTGTTCAACATGGTTTTTAATGCACGTACCATTCAAAAATATTTTGCTTCCAAGTAATTTATAATCTATATTTACTGTTAATGAAACGGCTGAAAAGATGATAACTTTAATTAATCAAGGTAGAAACAACGGCGCCTTTGTTTATAAATTAATACATTCTAAACCAACCACTTAACTATATTATTAGGCCTAATTTAAAATGTCATTATTCGTTCATTTCGAGAGGAATACGAATAATTGTACCGATTGCACCGTCCTTTCGTTAACATGGATGGGAAGAGTATGCGAGGAGCTATGCCGGAAAGCCGATTGGTGGTTGCTGAAGGGGCCGGCATATTTCGAAGATGGATGGTTGGCAACTGGCAACGTGCGAGGTGTCGTTGGCATTACTTTAACCACCTGCCGGTGCCAGAGGAAGTCTGATGAATTGCCTACGAGAGCGAATTACAATTTAAGAGGTCACAGATCTCATGTACGTATATGTTATTTACTCTCTCTTGATGTTTTAGAAGTAACGTAATTTGGGTTGACAGCTGTCCCAGTTGTCTGGGATTGTCCCAGAAAGAATCTGCTAAGAAAAAAGTCAAAGGAACTATATTTCTTGGTGCGAGTGTTCGCAAGTTGTAGTCCCCCTGGAATCTGGATGCACACTCCACTAAGACTGTTGTGGTTAATTATTTAGGCCACGTGACTATGATGGCATTGAGTACTTCGTGAACAATTGGCTGTTCGTGGAATACTTGATGCTACATAGTTTTAGGGGTGTGGGGCTCACCCCACGTGGGTACTGAGGTGCTTGCTTTTGCTTGCACTGAAATTACTACATGCTGATTTTGGGTGACTATATCTTGTAAAGGTGTGACATTTTTTACTCATACAAGGGTGTTTACAATTCTGGAGGTGACAAATATCTCATTCAGAGTTCACATCTTAACTTTTTTTCCTTACTGCCATTTAGTGACAGGAGGATTTTATTCTAAAAACCATACCTATAATGAAGTTTCTTTTTCCACATTTTAAATGCATTTCTGTCAGTGGTAGAGTAAAAAATACACATCTTGCAAATCCTAGAATTGAAGTGTCCTGGTATCTTTTGGGAAGAAGTCATTTTGTCTTGGATTTTATCCCCAAGTACCTAAATATAGATATAATACAAAGGTAGAATAGATTAAATATGATTATTCACTTGAATGTCTAACATGTTCTCTTTGATTGTCAGAAGTTTGTGTTACCCTTTTGATAAAGGTCTTCCTATTGGCAAGACATTGTTTTTGTTGATCTCTTAACTTTATTATACACACATCACACACTAACAGTACCACTCATCTATTGTCCTAACGCTGTTGACATGCCAGAAAAAGAAAACTATGGATAAATATGATGAATGTGACAAAATATGGAGAAATGAGGAGTAACTACTAAAATATGGAAAATTTATGTGAAATTGTATAATTATCTTCAGAAATTGATGAGACCATCAAATATTGAAATTTGACTCTTATATATTGGAACAAAAACATGTTAACATATAAACAAATAACATATAAATTCAAGAGTTAGCAATGAATTTCAATTCTGTTTGGGAATAGATCACCACCATGTTAAAAGTGTGAGAACTGTTAGTGAGTACTTCAATTCCATCTGTACTGCTGAGTGGCATGCTGATCTAGGGAATCATCTGATATGACAGTATGTCACTCTAGTAGTAGAGCAAGAAACATTGATGGCACAGCAGTATGTTCAGGAAATCTTGCTCCCTCATATTGTAATGTCTAATTTTTCAATAATCAGAAATAACCTAATGTTTATGGTGTTACATTAATAGTCGGTACCAGGCCTGGACTTTTGAACAGACAACACAAACAAATTTTTTCAAAAGAAATGATTGGTGTTAGAAAAATTCAAAAAAAAAAAAAAAAAATACTTATTGACTATTTGTCAAAAAAATAATTAGATTTATTATTATTATTTATTCTAAGACTGACTATGAATACAAAATATGAAGAGTGAGAAAACAAGAATTAGACAAGTTATAAAATTCAATGAAAATTTATCTAATTCAAAAATATAACCAAAACAACGTTCACAAAAACTTTCCTGACACTTTGGAACTTAGTTAAAATTGACATGAAACTAGATTATTTACAAAATTGCAAAAAGAATCTTATGATCTACATCTGCCTAACCATTACACCAAAGAAAAAACATCTGGAAATCCTGTGCCAATCACACTCATTCACTATAGCTTCACCTCCTTTTTTTCAGTGTTGTCAGTGTTTTTATACTTACTGGTGTGATGTAACAACAGCTGTGCCACTCCAACTCATTTACATACTTAGTCTAACATAATTGTTATTTTTATTTCAATCTTTCGAATATATTCATCTTTACGTATCTTTTCAATAAAATAATTTAATTTTTATAGTCAGTTACAGTTAGGATTAGGGGACATTCTTTAACTCCAATTTGGAAATCACTTGGTTCTAGATGCTGTGGTAGATTGGCAACATAGGCAGTACAGGTGTCAGTCATGATAAGAGTTTATTTTTAGAATTTAGGCTTCTCTCTGGGTTTAGTATGGAGTTTTGGACCTTTAAAAAAATAAATTGTTCCCAAAATAACAAAATAAATAATAATGAGAACTAAATAAAAACCTGAAAATAAAGGTAAAATTCAGACTAAACTCCTTACAATGTTGTTGGCTGTAAACAACAATTTTTCAGCAAGATAATGTTACAGTTTCTCAGGAGTGTCTATCATGTTGCCAAGCTTTGTTGGTCTGTCTGGTCTCTATATTTGAAGCCTTTCGAGGACCAGATGAAATACCAGCTTTTGCCACCTACAGGTGTGAGGGATCTGGAACATATTTGCAATATCTGCAGGCAATTTTTCAGAGTATATTATTTGGTGTTTCCATGTCTTATTCTGTTGATGTCTGTCCTACAAGGTATTAAAGATTGCTTTAAATTCTATTATTGTTCAATAGGAAATTATTCCTTTGCTATGATACAATTACCTATTTTCATTATTATTGCATTCACACAAATAAAGTTTTGTTTGATTCCAATGCCTCCTCCTTGGTGTGTAACTTTTTTGAGTACTTTATAATAGCAAGAATTGCCTGACAACATAATAAAATGATTTTCTGTAGAAAAATATTTGATCAGTATTGGTATCAAAATATACAATAGAAATATGAGTGCAATTGGTGCCTCAGTTATTTCTGAGAAATTATCTTTAGATTATTGATTCTCAATCTATTTCGACACAAAATTCTAAAAATGCAACAGAACCTATTAAGGAACCCCTACTTGTCCATATCTTATCCATATTAAAGTTCAGCTAAGTTTCTGGTGTCTTAATTTTAAAAAAATATATATTTCATTAATAGATAAAAAAATTAATCAAAATTAGAATGAAATAACAATTATTTGCCTTTTAAAAAGCTGCTGGAGTAAAGCAGCAATTGATTGTAAAGGTACAGTGGCTGAATAATTAATGTTAAATGTCATATGCACAAATTTAGAACTTTATTAAATTTTTATGCCATTATGCATTTTCATCTTAAAACCCCTAAAATTCTTTACAGAACCCAGTTTGAGAAAGTTTGCCTTAGGTTCTAAGAATTTCTGCTTTACGAATGGCATCTCCGAAGCTGTAAGGAATAAAATTTCTGTATTCTCATGCATAGTCAATGCTTGAGAAATAACATGAATATTCAAGTAGAGATTTTTTTTCTAATAAATGTAAAATAAATAATGACAATTTAAACCAATGGAAAGGATGTTGAATAATGTGGTGTTTTAATAACGACACTTTATGGTATTACAAAAAGCATAATAAATAATCCATTACTATATGGTATGTATTAGTTTTATGTAAAAAAAAATAGTCAAGCAATGCATTTGTAACTTTTAAGAAAATACCATATATTCTTACTTGCAAACAAATAAAATGGATAAGCCATTCAAATTACCATATGCCTGTTGAAAGCTCCCAGTGGCAAAGAATTGTAGGATAATTAATAATTGCTAGATATAAAGGTAACCCTCATATATTTAAGTGAATCAGATTTTTAAAAATCAAAACAACACTTTCATGAAGTCTCTTGAAAATCTCTAGCACATTCAAAACTCATTTTGCATATGTTTTCAGAGCATTATTTTAATTTCTCAGGATTCTATAGAAATGAAATTGTTTATCTTTATTGATTCATTCTATTAATTATATCTAATTTACAGAAAACTTTATACTACAATACAAAAAACTGATTAAAAAATATGACATTCTTGACTGTGCAAACTACATTTCTTCTAAACTTTCTCTAAATCAATTATTGCACAGGTCTAGGATTTGTCATTGAATACAGATTTGTAGTACAAGTCTCCATAGATTTACAATGAAAAAAAGAAAAAGAATAATAATAAATTAATTATCATTGCAGTTTGTTTGTATATTTCATTTTGAGAAAAATTGAATATCATGGTGTTTTCTTAATCCTTTGAATGTTTTTACCAGTGGTTCTCTCTTTGCTCAGAATAAGTTCATTATTAAAAAATGTAATGTTTATGAAAAAAATGAATATATTGTCTTCTAATTCATATTTTTTGTTTTTTTTTTTTTTAATAAACTAGGCAATATTTTCTTCTTTCAATTTGATTAGATTGAAAAACTCCAATTATTCAGAAGGAGACAGCAAGTGTGAATGAATAGATGCCATGTTTATCTTTAAGCTAGAAAATTCTATGCTTATTTTTGCAAAGCTTACAAAAATCACATGGAAAAAATTTTCTAGACCTGTCAATAGATATCCCTAGCTGTCTGTAATGTTTTACTTTTTTCCATAAATATGCAAGTGTTCTATGATGACAAACTTGAAGAATGTACAGTATATATACATGCTTATTCTGTAGAGCCCACTACAAGTATCATGTATCGATATATTTATAAAAGTACTCACGAAAGGATTAAGTAATAAATTGGAAAATTTGTAATATATTCTTATTTTTTACTAATTAGTTTCAGATTATTAAATCTTATAAAATTATTATTTTATATAACTTGAATATTTCAAAAAATATTCTTTATAACCTGCTATACAATTAATGGTTTCTTCTTATAGCTATTTTTTTTTTAATAATTTAGGAGTAATATGAAATAATAGGATGTGAATTCACACAATAAAATATTAAATACATAATAACAGATTAAAATTTTTGTATTAATTAACTATTTTATATAATTAAATTAAGTAGAATTAATTACACAAAATATCATATACCTTACTTGAAATGCACCATCAAATCTAAGATGCATTTTTATGTGCTTATCCTTGAATTTTTTTTGTTGTCTTCCATGGTATTAAAGTCTGAAACATCTTCACTTTTTGTGTTAGGTTCTGGATGAACAGTGGATTTGATGCTCACATCTTCCTACATACAATTATCCTCAATGACATTTAAAGCATTGAAAATGCAACAATTCTTCAGTGAGTAATCTTTTTCTGGAATTTTCATTCAAATAGTTATGATGTTGCTGTATTAGACTAACAAGATTGAGCTATGTTACCCCTTTAATATTCACTATTACAAATGTTGGTCTAATAAAATCAAAAATATGATGCTAGAGATGATTAATTATGATACATTACATCAAATCTATGGCATTCTATTTCTGTAGATATTAAAACCTGAAAAAAAGTACATCTTAAATTTGAGTAAATACTGTATACTACTTGGGGTATTTTAACAGTAATTTTACAAAAGTTATTATATTAGTTTGTGACTAAATACTAAAACATCATACATATGAATATGGCATGAATTGTTAATCAATTAATGATAGTAGATACATACGCTGTCAAATGGCATTAAAACTTTTTTATAATTCAAGTATTTTCAATGATTCAAATTGTCATCATCAGGCTAGTGAATATCTTGAGTTTGGAACAGAATGTCACTACATACAGTATAACATTCTAAATATTTAAACATTTAAATTTTCTCAATGGAATTCAAGGCTTGCCAGTATAAGAAAGAACAAAAATTTGAAACTTTATAAGTTTTGGTAATGTATGACTTGATAGGTAACATAATGCAACTGATCAAATATAAAGGATATATTTTATCTTTAAAATAATGTTATTTAATTATTTTAAGCTAAATAAAATCATTTTAGAGAGAGAGTAACCATAGAATTGTTATATATATATATATATATTTATAAAACTTTATTTTATTTTTATGGCAGGTGACAATAGTAAAATGGAATGAACCGTTTCAGAAATTAGCATCTTGTGATAGTAGTGGTACTATATTTGTGTGGATACAACATGAAGGAAGATGGGCTATTGAATTAATGAATGATAGAAAGACACCAGTTACAGATTTCTCTTGGAGTCATCATGGTCAATTAGCATTAATATGTTATCAAGATGGTTTTGTTTTAGTTGGTTCTGTTAGTGGTCAGCGTTATTGGTCATCAATGCTTCATTTAGATTCTCTTATAACATGTGGTATATGGACTCCTGATGATCAACAGGTAAATATTTACATAAATATATTATTAAAGATTTATTTGTTTGCATATATTTTATGTAGTAAGTCTGTTTTTCTTCTTGCTATATCTAATGAGTAAAAGAAAAATTTTGTTTGTTTGTTTTGTGGTGCATTGTTCCATCTGTGTAGAGTAAATGTTTGTGTTTGGATTGGTGGTGTTGTCTTCTTTTTTCTCAATAGTTTCAGGAAATTTATGTGCACTTTCCTAAGAACCTATATCATCATATTTTATAGAAAGATTACAAAATCCCACAAATTTCTTTCAAATGATCATAAAAGTACATTTTAGCAAATGAATAATTTTTGTTTATTGCTACCAATGTAAAACCTAATGATGCATTAATATTTTGAAAGTATTTAGAAAAAACATCTTATTAATATTATTTCCCAATGTTTCTTTAAAATATAATTATTGTTTCATGAAATAAATCATTTTATTATTGTTTTATTGCCAGTTACTCTACTAAGAATTACTTTCTTCATTGTTTGAGTTAATATTTTAACCTTTGTGGATATTTCTGTAAAATACAATGGAACAACATGAATGTTATTGTTCCATTGTGTTTTACAACCTATTTAAACAACCTGTTCAATGTTTCATTAAGATAACTTAAGCATTGCCAGATACATTATCTAGTTATTCATAAACATAAAATACAATATATTATTTCAATTAATAATCCAAGATATTAAAGTTCATTAAAATCGCAAACATTGACTATCTAAAACAATGTCTTCACTTGTTCTTTTTTACACCAGGAACTCATCTAGAACACACTGAAGTTTGACCTTTTATTGAGGGATTTTTTTTCAAATTGCAGACCAAAAATCATCTTTCTAAGCATTATATAAGCAAGTGAAATGTATATGTATTTGTCATTATGCATGTAATATAAAAGTATTCCGCTACATATGCAGATCTCTTATTTTATAGTTGATGTGAAGCAAATATGCTTAACATTTTTAAACTGAGATCTTTCAGCAGTTAATCCTGCAGAAACCTAGGTATATTTCATCATGTTGTAAAAGTGGGGGCATATGGTGGTGTATAAATAAATGAATTTTAATTGAATTTTCTTAGTATGCCACATTTTTTTCTTTTTTTTAATACTTCATTTGCATGATGTATTTTTTAATAAAATTCTTGACTTGATAGGAAAAAATAAATGTCACAAGATTGACAAAATGGTAGGCTATATAAGGTGGAGGAATTACTTTTACAAGGATAGAGTGTTCACTGTCATCATTGATGAAAATCACATGTTTAATTTTGGCACTTAATTTCTCATTAAATAAGTTCCATTGGCACAAATGCTCAGATACATGTCTACTTATTTTTTTTAATGAAGATTAACATATATAAGTTTCATTTAAATTAGTGATCCAAAGTTCATGGTCTCTTGTAAGTCAAAATCTTAGATTAAATTCATAATTGCTCACTTGAGTTGTACCTTTAGTGTACTATATTTGAATTCCATTAGCTTTTTTTTTTTTTTTTTTGTAAATTATACTCATTATACTCTAAGTTGAGCCTGAAGATGATGATTTTTCAAAAGGATTGAAAGTACTAGTTCACAATATAGAATGAATGCTAGAAAATAATAGGGACTTTATTTATCCTCTGCCAAATTTTTTGACTGACTTTACAAATGTTTATAATGACAATAGGTCATTTAAGTGCACTGTTGGAAATTGGTTTTGGTTTGCTCATTTCAGGTCTGGAGACTACGGAACTAAAAACAAGCCTTTGCTCTGGGTGACCACAGATACCTCAGTATCATCATTGATCTTACAAGACAGTTGGTCATCAAGGATATCTGGGTCACACAGGAGATAGCTTATGAGTTGGTCTTTGCTCAGTCAATAGCTTGTTAGGCACTGAAGTGGCTATGCATTAAGTAAACAAGGAAAAAGTGAGTGCCACACATCCTGACAATAGAATAAGTGTGAATTTACTATGACAATTTAATTATGCAAGGTGCTTATGTGATGCCCAGTGAATGATGAACCACCAAGTCTAAGCAAGCTTTGGCCAACAAGAAGGTGATGCTTTGTGTTTTCTAGGATTGTCAAGATGTCATTTACCATCATTATATGTTGTTGGGCAAAACAATTGACAATGACAACTACTATGATATATTCAATAACCTGTCTGTAAGAATTACCAAAACTCACCCATCATTAGCCAACAGAAGGAGGGTTTGTTCCATTAGGATAACACTAAACAATATTCCACTAAGCTGGACTAGAAACTCATTAATTACCATTGTATATGTCAGACCGTCCCCATCAGATTTTTACCTGTTGGAGACATCAAAACACAGTGTCTGCAAAATCATCTTGGTCAAATGCTGCCTGGATTGGAATCTGCAATAAAAGGTGGCCAACTTCTTTGCTTTAAAGTAGCCATCAGTCTTTGAGCTGGGCATTCGAAAATTGGTTGAACTCTGGTCTAGATCTTAGCTAATGATGAGAGTACCATTCTGATTTTTTTTTTTTATCTATGAATAAAATTACTTTTTCTGAACCCAAATTTTTCACAATGACTGATTTTCATGATGTAAATAACAAACATAAAAGAAGATCTTATTGAATGTATTTTTATTGATAACTTTATTGGGCTGCAATTGAAAAAACTGTAGACCTATAAATTCCCACTGTTATCTGTCTTTCTGTCTGTCCTTCATTAATTTCAAGAATGGTGTTAGATATATAAAAGTCAAGACCAGATATGGAAAGCTTAGGGTCAGGAGATCCTGATTAACTATATATGAACTTTTGATCTGTTATTTTAATTCAAAAATTTTCCCCAGAACAGAATTACATAGATGACTAGCATGACACTGTTGTTAACAGGAAAAGTATGTTGTGCGGAGGCAAGACACTAATAATTTGAGGCAGAGAGCATATATTTTAAATTAAATTAAAAATATGATTAAAAATTGCAACTCTGTATTACTTGCAACGGGTAAAAATAATTTTTTACTCGTTGTTATGATACATTATCATCATGAAGAAATTTAAAACTGATTCATTAACAGAAAGGAATGCAAAATTTTTCTGTTGAAAATTACAATGAATGAAAGTTATAACAGAAAACATTGAAAAATTTTGAAATTTTTATAATAAAATATGCATAATATATAATTACTTTTAAAAAATGGTATTTTATATAATTACAGGTATTGTTAGGCACTTCAAATGGACAAATATTAGTCATTGATGTTAGTGGACATATTGAATGTGAAGTTACTATTAAAGAAAATGTTGCCATTACTTCTATGGCATGGTCATGCCATAAATTTAGTTGTGAAGAAAAAAGTGATTTTACATCTAGTATTCAGGCAGAAGGTAGTGTTTAAAGAACTAAAATTGTTTTTATTGAAAATTTTATTTATTTTTTATGTTTTTAATAATTATTATTTTATTTTACTAGTTGTTTGATATTCTGAAATTAGTATTACTTGTATTAGTATTGAAATTAGTATTGAAAAATTATTTTTTCAAATTAAAGTTAATTTTATGATAATTTTTGTTCTAGTATATGTTTTTCTATTTATTAAAATTTCCTAATTCTGTTATATTTCTTTCATTTCTCTGTTATATATTTTGTTTAATTTGCATAAAATATTTTATTATTTTTAGATATGAAATCATTATTAGCAGTTTGTCTTGAGAATGGTTATATTTCTTTCATTTCTTGTAAAATGAAAGATCTGGATTGAAAGACAGGTAAAAAGTACAATTTTGATAATGTAAATTACTTTTTTCCTCAATTAATTTGCTGAACAATATAGCAAAAAATGAATACTATTCCAATAAAGAGTTTCTGTTTATTGTAAGTATAAAATGTTTTTCAAGCCTTCCTGATTCATCTTCAGATACAACCTGGCTTTTATAAAATTTTATACATAAATAAACAGACCTCTAATGTTTTGGAACAGCGTTTACTTTTCTATATATGTAATATGGGGTTGGAAGAAGCTAATGATAATTGTTTAAAAATCTTATCTTTTAAAACTATTTTTAATAATGAAAAATCATTATAATAAAGAACTTAAAGTTTTTAATAAAATCTAGAAAATTAGTAATTGAATCTGTTCAAATAACAAAGCCTATTCTTTACATAATAATAATTTTCATTTATGTAATGAATTAGCATGAATTAATTTGAAATTAATTCATTATATAATTTCTTGTTATCAAATAGATTTTTGTTTTTAATTTAAAAAATTAAAAACAAAATGAAGATTGTTTTCATACTGTTTTAATTTTTGCTAATTATTATTCAAAAACAATCTATTATAGTTAAAGATTTAGTTTTTCATCTTGCATTTAATATTTCATTATTAGTAAAATTATATATAGTTAAGCAAAATATTATGATAAAGCATGAGAGAGAGAGAGAGTGTGTGTGTGCGTGCGTGCGTGCACACACGATTATCACTTCCTTATATACATATATATAAAATTTTAATCTGTCTAAATGATTTGAAACTGTTCTGTGAGTGTGATGAATTCAATCTAAAATTAAAATTATCATTTACAAAATACTAAATATTAGTATGTAGATATTCAATATGTGATGAAAACTTATACATTTCCATACACTTATGCAATTATAGATAAATAGATGAAAAATTAAAATTATTATTTTAAGAATTTTCAGGATAAAATTATGAATGAAATGATTATCTTGTTGTTAATTATTTCTTTACTATGCAAGTATTAAAAAACTATCATTGGCCCATCTATATATGGACAACATATATTACAGAATGTTGAACATATCATATGATGATAATATTAATGTAAATTTAATAAATATATTTGAACAGAGTTTGTACTTACTATGTGGAGAACAAATATATAAAATAATTAACAATTAATACTTTATTTCATTAGACATGCATCTTTGTTATGTTTATAATAAGTGTTACACCTGTTTACACTGATACTCATGTTTTAAAATAACAAAATTATGAATACAGAAAATACAATGGTATAAAAGTATTATACCATAATTCTAACTATTTTACATCACTTTCTCAAATTCAATTTTGGAAAATAAGTTTTCTTTATGTAAATAATTTATGACCAAACATTTTTGAAAGCTAAAAGAAATTAAAATGTCAATATATGAAGCTTATCAGTAGTTATTCAATATAAAGATGACATGTAAACCTAATGTAAATATAGAAGCAATAATGTTGACGATAAACACCTTCTACATAAAATTTATAGCATTAAAAAAGTTAATTACAATTGAAAATTTAATCAAAATTATATATGATATTTAAAATAATTATCAATAGAAGAAAAAAATTTAGAATTTTTCAAAATGTTAAACCAACTTTACCTTTCATTTCTATGAAAGTACATAGTCTATAAAGAACATAGGGTACTGCATGTTTACTTTTATCATTTTGTTCTTTCAAATCTCTTAATGATGATCCAAATATCTGATGCTGTAAATTAGACTTCTTTGAACATTGCTGATCCTGACTTCTTCCAGTTTCACAATCAGCATTCTGACTCTAAAAAATTTTTTTAAAGTATTATAAATAAATACTATGTTCTAAAAACTTTCTGACTAAAACAATGTTTAAACTAACAAGTTTAGTATGTTAATTAAAATAATATAAAACATCTATTTAATTTGAGAAATTTATTTCATATAATTTGAAGAACTATAATCTGTTACCTAAAGTAGAGATTCTTCTTGCTAACAAGTAGGACTATTGTAACTAAGAGCTTCACATTCTATAACTTCGTTCTGCTCCTGTTAATTACTTGTTACCAAGTAATTGATAATTGTTTTGTAATTAAGGTTTTTGAATTATCAATTAGTAATAAAGTATACTTAGTATGTGTATATTTATTCAGATATTCAGGTTAAAAAAAAATTGATGTGTATTCTTGAACAGTAGAATAGTAACACGATTGCTTCAAAATCATATGTAAACTGTATCGACATCAGAACCACCACACATTCATGAATATTAATGTGTAAATATTTATGTATGTATTATTATAGAAAAAAATCAGGCCTGGGAGTGCCACTTCCCCTTTGAAAAAATGAGAAAAGTGAGTTGAAATACAGAATAAGTGAGTAAAAAAGTGAGTGCAATACAAGTAGCCCTTGGTTTATGCTGGCTCAATTTATGCCGATTCACAATAACTCCGCTGCGCAATTCACCATTTCGCGGTGTAATTCCCCAATTTTCCCTATGCTAGACTGATTTTCATTTCAGTGTCGGCGTATTTACCGAGCCGCAACATTGTATATTAGTTACAAAAGATTTTCTGTTTAATATTATTGGGTATGCATACATTTGCATTAAATTAATATTAAAATACTAAACATTTAGGTACCCACGAGTCAAGTTATTAAACTTAATAGTCCAACAAATGGTGTCTGAATCAATAGTGCCAATGAATGTATCCCATATCAAATCGTTCAGGAAAACACTTTACGACGCAGTAGCACTTCCAGCGATCACAAATCATCATTAGTGAGACAAATCTACTTTTCATTGGCCAGACGATATCTATCTCTTCTTAGCCACCTTCAATTTTCCTGCTCAAACTGACCTTATATATGGGCTACGGCAACCAGTGGTCGACCAATCAGTGTCTCCGCTTGTCTGTAGCTCTA